TCTAATATTATTAGTATTATATATAATTATAATACAACAATAGAATTGATGAAAACATAGCAATGAAAGAATGCGAATCGTATGGTGTCAGTAAAGCAGTAATTTATGAGGAGTGTGGTGATAAAGTTAACGAATCTACTACTGATGATAAACCAGTTAAACCTGTTGTTATTGTTGATGAACCACCTGCTGCTGCTGTACCTCCTGCTGTTTATGAAGCATTGGATACTGATGATGTCATACACCATGTTGATGACATTAATATATATGAAACATGAACTACACTTACTCTATGCATACATGCATGCTGCTGTAGTGTGACAAATATTAGAATGAAAAATGTCACAAATTGTGTAAGTTTTATTATTTTTAATAAAAATTATAATTTTGAATGTTCCCAAAAAGTAAATCCTGGAAATAGCACACTATGATTTATAGTCAAACCACAATGAATAAAAATCTTTTGTAAAAATTAAAATAGCAATAATGATAATAGTTAATAATAATAATAATAATAATAATAATAATAATAATAATAATAATAATAATAATAATAATAATAATAATAATAATAATAATAATAATGATACACATGATGTTTAAGATTATTAAAAGAAGTAGCAGTACACAATCACACACACACACACCCTCAGACACAAGGACAGTATAGCAGCTGTCAATATGTACAGTTATTTCGTTAGTCGTCTCTCGCTTAGAGAATTCTTGGGAGATCTTAGAGTTTGAAGTGCCTGACGCATTTTAGTTTGAACACTAATTTTATCAATACCAAGAGCCTATGAGCAAAGAATAAAATAATAAAAGAATAGTCATAGCAAATATATGTACATACACATGTACATAATTATTAGATTGAACTATATAATAAGCAAGATGTACTCTTTAAACAAGCAAATCTCTCCTTTCTTTCTCTTTCCCCTATTTCTCATTTCCTCTTACATGCATGTCTTCAGTTTTCATAGACAGGAGTTGTTTTCCATCACATCCAATGGAGCATGTAGCAGTAATGCACTCACTGAAACCAATGCCATCCAACCAGTGACAAACATCATCAATAGTCCAGTCTGGGACATCTACATGTAACAATAAATAGTAAACAGTGTGAGAAAGGGATTCATGTAATGCAAAGAAAAACATGTACTATTGGCAATAATAGCTACATGTACATGTACATACATGTATTTTACATTTTTACTGTTGCAAGTTACAGATGTACTATTGGTATAAATATGTATATTAAAAAATTAGGAGCTACATGTATTTTACTGTTGCAAGTTACAGTAACGGTATCATACTTTTTCCATATATATATTTATTGTTGCATTAAGTTACAGTCAAGAAGGTACATGTATCATACCTTTTCCTATATTCTCAATAACTCTATTGCTAGCAGATATCATTTCAGCATTGACAAGATGACCGGATCTCTCCCTATGTGATGTTAGTACCGGTGACCGGGCATGAGGATCATGATGGACAGTTCTGTGTACTAGGACCGAGTCCGAAGCTCTCCTAGAGGTTCTCTGTAACTATTTTGAGGATGGTATCATGTGATTGTCATGTGATGAGCTTACCAGTGGGTGAGGTATCATGACTCGCTTTACTTGGACTTCAACTACTTTGACTAGTTGTCTGATCTCTTCTTCTTTCTCTATCGATATCTTAAAAGAAAGGGACAGGAAAAGAATAAAAATTAAAGTAATGGAGCATTGATGTAACTTACCTTCTCCATGTTGAGGAACCACAGTGTCTCCTGAAGGAGGGACTTCACTGTTCTCTCAACATCTTGCAAATGCTCTAAATCAGCAGTCTAATAATGATAATAATCATGATAATAATAATAATATTGATAATAGTCATATGTAAAAGTATAAACTCTAATAAACTTGGCCAACACCTTCAAAAAATCTAATTTTGATTGGAATTACCTGAAACTTTCTACAAAACATAAGAACATGTATATGCATCAGGAAAAATTATAAAAATCAAAAATTCTCTCCTTTTTATTTTTGGCAAAATTTGACTCGAGACCATGTACTATAGTACAGGGACTTTAACCCGATTTTGGAGCAACTTCAAAAATTCATAAAAAATCTAATTTTGATTGGAATCACCTGAAACTTTCTACAAAACATAAGAACATGTATATGCATCAGGAAAAATTATAAAAATTAAAAATTCTCTCCTTTTCATTTTTGGCGAAATTTGACTCGAGACCATGTACTATAGTACAGGGACTTTGACCTGATTTTGGAGGAACTTCAAAAATTCGTAAAAAATCTAATTTTGGTTGGAATTACCTGAAACTTTCTACAAAACATAAAAACATGTACATGTATATGCATAAGGAAAAATTATAAAAATGAAAAATCCTCTCCTTTTCATNTTTGGCAAAATTTGACTCAATTAGTACAGGGTTGACCTGATTTTGAAGCGACTTTAAAATTTTGTAAAAAATCTAATTTTGATTGGAATTACCTGAAACTTTCTACACAACATAAAAACATGTATCCCATATAATTTAATTTCATTAAATTACTCATCAAAAAATGTAATAAATTTCCCCTAGTCTACATGTATGTACACATGTAGCTTACATCAGACACAACATCAAGTGAAGGGAAGACTCTATCAAGACACACAGTAGCAGCTGCAATATGTGAAGCAATATCAAAATGAAAGTCAGCATTATGCTCTGACTCTGCCTGAAGACTAAAGGAAAAATAAAGTAAAGTAAACTAAATATTATCCTGTTCCTTTACCAGTCAATGAGTGGGCGGACTGTTGCATTTATTTCCTGATATTTCTTGATCTCATCAGTCGTGAGTGCTTCCTGAAGATTAATGACTGATGGAGAAGTCAATGGAAGTTCTGGGCCTCCTCCTCCTCCTCCAACCGGCTGCCTTTGAGACCAAGACTCTAAACTTTGAACAAACGCCTATAAATTAAAAATATTATAATTAAAGTACAGTACACATTAGTAAAAATGAAGACATATTAACAGTGTAAAATTAAAGATTTACTTTATCTTTCACGATCATCTTTGCTCTATTTTTGTGGCTGATTAATATGACACCAGGGTCCTGAGACCACGCCTCCCCATCCACCTGGACCATTACTTGTGTATGTAGCGTCACTTTTGCCGTCCGACACTGAGCCAACCGCTGGTTTTGAATACCAAGGACTTTCGCTGTTGCCACGTGCATAAAACCAGTCACTCCGGCAACCTCAAGTAACTTATCGTCGATTGACGGAGCAGAGAAACCTTCCTTCTCTCTCTCGGTACCCCAGAAGTTAGTACCAGACATATAACTAATAATAATGATTGAGACATGACTATGTATACGGCCATATAGTGTAGGTAGTGTATTGTTAGAACAGGCTTAAGTGTGATAGTCTACTATATCAGTTTTTGGGAGCTACAAGTATCACGAACAAGATAAGCTTGCTTATTAGGAAACTGAAAGTATAAATATAGAACTATTGTTTTTATAATAATTAATTGAATTAATCATTATATAACTTGATATGTACATGTACATGTAAGTCATGCAAAGGGAGTCATAAAGATATAGAAAATGAATTACCTCGGTATGTTAAGAAACACGAGCCCTTGAAGTCTTTGAGGCAATTGAATTTCTTTCCCATCGCACTAAACATACAATACACAACAACAGTAATTCATACACATAGTATAGTTTATACTAAGAATGATGAGTGTGAGGTTGGTTTTAAAATGATATCACATACATGTATGTGATATGTTTGACATACCTCAAGTTTCAATTTCCTCTCCAAGTTCTTTTGTGTGTTAGTAAAGAATTCTCTACCTCCTAAATATCCATACAATATCTTATTTTTAGTGCGATTCCTATCAAAATATTTCCATTATCAACATTAGTATTAGTACTATCATTGCTGTATTTTTGTTTTTTTACTAACTTGAATTGTCCAGGATTTTCTTCACGTCTAGTGTGAAACTCGTAAGCTATCTTTGCATCAAATCCAATCCCAAAATAATTATTCATACAATAGAGCTCTTTCATATCCGAACTGCAGAGGAGAGAAAAAGGAAGAGGAGGGGGAGAGAGGTCACATGATGTTCTTAGTCTAGTATCGTGACTTACAAGAAATGTTCTGTTTCTTCGCTAGCTCTTGCACTAGGAGAAGGTTGACAGATTATTTGAGGAGGAGTCAAGTCAGTAATGACCTCTTGCTGTGTATCAACAACTGAAAAAGAGAGAGAGAGAAAGAGAGAGAGAGAGAGAGAGAGAGAGAGAGAGAGAGAGAGAGAGAGAGAGAGAGAGAAAGAGAAAGAGAGAGAGAGAGAGAGAGAGAGAGTAATAATTTTCATTTCTTTATGGTGTGTACTGTGTACCTTTCTCTGTCATATCTATGACATTTTGAACTGCTTTCTTTAAACTGTTGGCTCTAGCCATGAGACAATCACGTGACTGAAACTAAAAACAAACCCAAACAATAATACCCAACACACAACACAATAAGTATAGAAAACCTAAAAATACAAAACTTCAATGCACAATACAATAACTGTAAATGGAACACAGTAATGTTCACAGCGATCAAATTGCCAATAGGGTTTGCACGCCCAAGATTACTCTATTTCTCATTTCAGTAATCATACATGTACATGTACGTTGTATGTACATTGTACATGTATGTACATGTATTTATGTGTGCAAGGAAATTATCATTAAATATCAGAACTAAGCTCCAAGTTTTATGTACATGTACATGTACATGCATGGTAATTATAGTGGAATAGAACACTTACTACTTTTGTCTTTGGTTGTGCGTTAGAGTTGGTCCTTTCCTCATTATTAGGGGTACCCACATCATTATTGAGAGTCAATATCAGCTTCCTTAACTTATCGTTTAACACTGAGCACTATAAAGAGGAGAAACGAACATTTAAAGTATTCAAATGACAAAAAGAAGACAAGGATGACAATACACATTTAAATAGTAAAAAAAGAAAATAAAATTAGAAAATTTTTATAACCTTTTGCATGAGTGGATCATTGGTAAACTCGTCTTCACTGAGGTTCACTTTCTGCTGTCCTTGCAGTGATAGCACAAACTGACTCACCAACTCACACAAAACCTGAGCAGAACTAATAACATCAGTCTCATTCTCTGAGAGCAACACTGTCGATATGTGCGACATCACAGACGACTGCAACGTACTACACGTATCCTTTAGACGAATTTTAGGCGAACTAGACAGTGCAAGGGTTTTTGGAGGACTACGAGATTTACGAGTCAAAGCCGTATCATCAGGTACTATATGAAGAGTCTCTCCTTCTTCCTCAACCTTTTCCTCCTTACTCTCTCCACCATCGTCACTGGGTTCGTCTGCTGGAGCAGTGCCAATGGACGAGGTTCTTGAGTGAGCGCTGTGATACTGAGAGGAACCAGACGAGACTGTTGATATCGTATCTAATGGAACGGTGAGGGTATTCAAATGGGTGTGGTCAAGTGTAGGCGGAGTGCTAGGTGAGCAAGCGGGATGAGACGGAGAGGAGAAAGACCTTGAGGGGTCGTCAGGAGATACTAATATTTGAGATTTACTATCAACACTGCCGACTGATCTGCTTCTCTGGAAATTCTTAACCTACATGTACAATGTAAGTTTAAAAATAAAGGGTAAAATTAATTGCTATGCTGCAAAATTTAAATCACAAAAATTATGCATCTTTATTGCCACATAGTGCAGTTTGGAAGCTATTTGTGAAAATATTATCCACAAAATCTAAGGCTTATGATGCGAAATTATCCAATATATGTTACTGAAAGGAAAAGAACACAGTGCTACGATAACAAAGTAAGAGGAAGTGATGAAAGCTTACCAAATCATGAGCATCAACACTAGTATCAGTAGTGAACCAAACACTCCATCGGTCTAATAGCCTGTAAGATGAACACTCCATTTCATTCAATAGCGTCGGTATCTTCTCTTCATCTGAACATTGTCCACCCCAACCTAACACTCTCGCTAAATCGTTACCTGTCCCCAATGGAACCACACCTACCATACACTATACATAAATGTATAGCGGGAAGTAAAGGTCAATGGGTTAATGGGTTTAGGTTTGTGACTGACTTTTGAGTGCAAGTGCAGTTTGTCAATGGTTGATAGCACCCAGCCAATGCTACCGTCACCGCCGAAAACAAGAACACGAAACTTATTGAATCTTTGAAATAATAGGAGACTAGAGAATGTGGATAAAAATGGAGAGTAATATAATCAAAAGGTAATAGCTAAGGCATAAGCAACCACAATGTCATAAAGTTATGTGTTTAGTGTTTAGTGTCTGTTGTGGTCTGTGCTGTAATGTTAGTTATGTTCATAGTCATGTATGTGGGTGATCTGTGCATGATGAATCTAAGGGATAGTGTGGATTAGAAGTGTGTACCCTGATTCTGGTCCTGATATAGCCAAATCAAAAACTTGCAATGGATTCAACCAATACTTGAGTCGCCTCAAGAATCTAACACCCTGAGAAAGGAGAGAGAGAAAAAGGGAGGATGATAAGCTGTGTTTAGTTTGTTGTATAAAGTCAAACCTTATTGTCGCCGCTCTTAGAATTGACAAAAGCCAAAACCGGATCATGTGATGGGAGTTTCAAAGGCTATACAAGGGAAGGGGAGAGAAACAGTTAGGGGGAGAGAAAGGAAGGAGGCCAACAAAGAGAATGTCAAGTATGTCTGGGTATTCATTACAAATGGCAATAAGGGCATCGTTATTGCTCAAGTATGGACTGAAGGAAGCATACACTGAGAGTGGTAGCATGACAGACACTGAGCAACTAACCTCCCACATTCCTTTTACAATGTCATTGGACTGTTGTATGGCTGATGGAGGGAGAGTGGAGAGATTCAGCGAGCCGAGTGTACAGGGAGTTGTAACGGAGTCTTTGCAATCAGCATGCACCTTCATGTACATGTAGGAAGAAAAAATAGAAAGAAAAGCACACATAAATAATTAAATTAAATGAAAGATGTAGCTTAGAGAAGAAGATTATAGTGAAAAAAGAGAGTGTTTAAAAATGTGATGTATTCAGAAATCTACAGTTGAACTAAACTTACAGTTCCTTTACACCAAAGACAACGGAAATCCTGTAATCTTATCAAACTTCCACAGGCCCTCTTGCACACCGAACACTTAGAGCCAGAGGGAAGGTTACCCTCCATCCATTGATGAGGGAAAGAAAGCTAAAGAAGAGGAGAGGAGAGGAGTGATCGAACTACACGTGTACATGTACTTGTAGATCGTGTAAAATTACATTTGTAATTGAAACATAAGTACATGAGAACCGAACATTTATAATTAGTACATTTATGTATCATATCAGCTATAGAACATGTGTAGAACATATAAGTACAAATTTGACTTACATCTTGAGATACTTTCACACCGTCAGACTCAAGATTAGTCCTAGTTGCCCACTTGCACTTTTGATTGACAGAAAAGACACAATGTCTGTGACACTTGAACTTGCACACTATGAAAAGGAAAGAAAACCAACCAATCAAATCATAGCAGTCAAATGTAATCACACACTAAAGTGACAATATGTTCATACAGAGTAGTACAGTGATAAAGGTTTAGGGTTTCCTTTATCTGTTTCACACCAACGTTAATTGGTAGTACCTTCACACGAGAGACCTTTGAATGTAACGCGACCGAGAGCCTCACCACAAACATTACAATAGACAGGGCGAGGGTGAGAGCAGGAGAACCAGCTGTGCTGACCATCGAGATGATGAAAACTATCAAGTATCTCCTAAAATAATAAACATCATTATATTAAGCATGTATAAGTACATGTAATGTATTAACTATAAGTTTACTGTCAATCAGCTATAGACTCTATGTAAGTATGCATGTATATTATGTAAATGTACATGTAAATGTACATGTACATGTGTTGATATTGTGTGTGTGTTTGTGTGTGCGTGTGTTAAGGTTATGGCCACTGACTGCATTGTTTGCCCTTTGAACCGATTGCTTGATTGCAGTGAGCCATTCCTCCATTTCTTTACGACTGTTGGCTACTAATATAACATTCTGATGTGGCGTCATTATCTACAGGAGGAGAGAAAGGAAGATGCTTGTATTTAAACTTATAACATTCCTGTTTATTATTTTTCTAAAGCAAAAAGTATTTAATAACAACTAAAATGTCACCATAAACTCATAACACTATATACAGCAGGATTATAATTGCACTAACTGTATATATATATATATATATATATATACTTATAGTATGATCTTATGCTGTACTATTCTACAGCTCATGGCACATAATCAGTGCATCGTGATTAAACCCTGAACCCTGTTAACAATTTTGAATACATATTTGCAGCATGTTATAATGAATAGCATCCATTCTACTGAATAATAATCAATAATGCAATCAGCATGTACTAAGGTCTCAGTCACTCATTTATCAGGTACACGTAATTGCTTTAATAGTGCATTATTAATAGCAGTAGTGCTAATACGCATGTACATGTATTAATACGCAATGAAGATAAGGTTTCTGTACTGTTAATAAGCTTATTTAAAGTGTCTCTATATCCTCTTCATTCAGTATACAATGAGCTATTGACACTCACAGTGAAACTGTTGTTAACATTCTGTGTGCTGTTCTCAACTAGCGTAGCATCCTTTAGTAACACTTCCTCTCTTAGTTTGTCCTACAGCACAAACATCATAATGAAATTGAGGAAGCATTCTTAGCGGTATAACATAGCTTTCTCTTACTTCTTTCTTCTTTGTCATAAACATCTTGTGATTCTCAACTGAGCAATAACGCTTCACCAACCTCTGATATAAGAGAAGGAGAGAGAGAGAGAGAGAGAGAGTGGGGGAGAGAGTGAAGAAAGAAAGAGAAAGAAAGGGTGAAAGCTCAATACAGTATGTAATTGAGTCCAAACAATCTTACTCCTAAAGTTTTTGTTTGTCTTAATAGATGTCCCTGTTTATAAATAGTCACCTACATGCACAAAAATAAAGACACAATAATATAATAATGTCACCTCTCGCTGTCCCTTTTCTGTTTCCTTCTCTCTCTCTCTCTCTCTCTCTCTCTCTCTCTCTCTCTCTCTCTCTCTCTCTTTCTCTCTCTCTCTCTCTTTCTCTCTCACTCTTAATTAGTGAAAGGGTAGCCTGATCTAGTGTGTGCATGATCTATCTTAATAATAATAATTTTCAATATATACACTGTGTACATAGAATCCATTATGACTTGGCAGTATTTCAATACACAGAATCATACAAAGTACATTGAGAGCATAATAACATTACAAATAATAACACATTCACTGAAAATTCACACACATACGTACACAAACATCTAACGATACTGAAACACATACATGTATGCGTAATAACATCAATTTTAAAAATCAAATCTTCTTGTAGTCTTTCTTATTTCTATTGCTACGCGACTTCTTTCCTTTCTTTTTCTTTTTGCTTGACTTCTCATTTCCGTTTGGCAGTTTTGACTTGACCTTGTGCTTCACATATGGCTTGGCAAAGCAACACAGCTGCTTCCAAAAGAAACAGCGATACTTTGACTTAATGAAGAAATGACCAAAAACCTTCAATGCCACTTTCTGCTTCCAATTCATCACAGCTGATAGCTACTGCAGTGGTTCCACACGGCAAATAAATAAATAAATAAGATAGAAGCTTCAAATAAAAGCAACAAGATCAAAATATGTTCTGGGCAAAAAAATTTCCAAAAATATTTTGCTGGATATGGGCAATTGCTTAATCAGTCAAGCTATTATCTGGCATCCAAAAATTCCATCCAAGTGTTGATTGTTATTTGGAAGAGATAATGTCTGAATAATGATCATCCAAAGAGCAAAATATTACTGTAAAACACCAGGAGGAAGGAAGGATGGAAGGAAAGTGATCTAATGATAAACTTGATCCTTTTCCTTGAACACGGAGGATTAAGAATGAAATTGGAGACTTGCTAGATGCAACACATATATAATAATTATTGGCACAAAGTATCCTGCAATGCCAAAAGCTCCAACTGTTGTTTAGCACAAAAAAGGACGCGGACTGACAGAAAAAGGAATTACATTTCGCTCGCTAATGGAAAGGAACAAGCGGAAACATGGCCAGACTATACAAGATAACAGCACAATACAAAATAATATTATCAATCTCTTTTGTCGGGTTGCGTATAACTACAGCAGGTGCGTGGATGTATGCGTCTTGTTCACATATTTTCACTGAACATAAATAGTCATATATAATATCAACAAGACTCCTTAAAACCAGAGTCAAAGTAAAGGACAATACCGCTCTACAACCCGTCAACACTCAACCACAGACCGTGATACACGTACGTACGCACCTGTGGTACAAAGGTGGAGGAAGAGGAGGAGGGAGAGTGGCTGTGATGAAGACTGATCCTCCTGTGGTGCCGGTCCTCGTCCTCTGCCAGCTCTCTTTCTATTCCCATTTTCATGCTCATGAGCATCTCGTCCTCCATTTTGCGACTATCATCATGTTCCTCCTCGCTACAATAGCTCTCATCTTCCGAGTCCAGAATGGCGGGGCAGGTTGTAACTCTGGTAGGGCAGGTTGTAGCTCTGGTAATGATGCGGCGGGTTACTAAATTCCCTTTCAGATTAGAGTCATCTTCTGGCTGCAGATCCTCCATTAGTTGGCCTTTAAACAAATAGTACACTAGCTATAGTATTTCTTTCTTTCCAAAAACTACACAGTGACTGAAGGAGATCAACCTTTATCAAACATACGCCCACGTACCCATCTCATCCCGACCGCAAAACGTGCAGATCCTGTGGGTGGATCTGTAACCTTACCCTGCAGTATCTATGCTACTATGGTTGGATCACTTACACACATCAAAAAACTCTCCCCCTCCTTCCCTCACTATATCATGTTGCTTCTATGTTGCATCTCCATTTTGCACAAAAGTTAAAACCAGTGCATTTACATAGCAACTGCATCATATATGAAGATTGTATCTATTAAATGTGTACGTGAGTGATTTTACACAAATTTGGCTGCAAATATTCTCAAGATTTCCTTTATTAATAAAACAATAATACCAATAACATATATATAATACTGTATCTGCATAAACAAGTGCAATATTGAAAGCACAAACAACCTCATTTAAATGTAATAATCTGTTATTATTATTGTTGCATTGTATCATTACTACTGTATATTGTATGAGTATGTCCATATCATGCATGTATTTTAAAAAGCAGATTTCAATTTCAATTGCTCAGTTGGCTGATCTTCTGATGGCAAAAACCTGCAAACACAAATGAATAAAGAGAATGATAAAGAGACGGTAAATTAATAGTAATTGTTATACTTTGATTTTAGTTGCTCTAGCCTTTCCATGAGTGTAGCCTCCTCCACATCACTGGAGTGAGACCTTGCTAGAGGAAGATGCTCTGACACAGCCGTTCTGTCTAATGATAAGAGTAACAATATGAAAGCTTATCTATTATCGTAACATCCTTAAATCTATACCACACTCTCTCTTCATTTTTTTAATATTTAAACTGTAGTCTCAATGATTATTTTATGGGGGGTACCTTGAAAGAAAAGGCCTGAAGGTAGTTTGAGATTTCTGGCAGCAATACACAACCAAGTAATAGTATCAGCACCCTAAAAGAGAAAGAGAACAGTGACTATATCCAAACAGTAAATTGATCATTTATAGAATTTCTTTTCTTTACATGATTACTGAAAGCTATCATTTCATGTGGTCAGGAATTCTTTGTATTTTAATTATAAAAATACCCCAACAGGTCACCTGTACTACACGGGTACTACCGTACCTTCCCCACGGACTAAATAAGGTGAGGGGTATCTCATACCTGTTCTGGAGTGCGTAGCTTGTCACCCATCTTGGCACTGAAGTCTGGCATTGAAGTCTGAACGGCCACAGTAGCTGCCCAACCTTTTGGGAAAATTAACACATACATGTATACACTTTAGCCAAGTGCTACATTTTCATTTAACATGTACATGTACACTTGGCACAAGACCATCAACACCGAAAATAATTACAAATCAGACACTAAAGGTGCGAGGCATCTCCCCTATAGTTGTTTGAGAGGTATAAGGCTCTAACTTGTATCTACTCAAAAGTCTCAAATGCTTCACACGCGCCCACACATTATTTGAAACACGCCCACGCACTCACAACCAACCTGGATGCATTGATGAGAAGTGAATGTTGGGATATTTGACTGCCCACAGGCGAGACATGACAACCTGCTGTCTCTGCACGTTTGACAAGAAAAAAACAGAGAGGAAGGAAAGAGAGAAAGAAAAGAAAGAGAAAGGGAGTGAGTCGGAGAATGAGGAAGAGTTAGTAAGGATATGCTTCATTTAGTTTCATACTTTGTTTTGACCGTAAGCAAATGTCCCGTCAAACTTATCCTGTCTTGCAGCAAGGTTTAAATCATAAGGATCTAATTTCTCAGTGTACATACCACCTGAAGATACAGTCACCTATACACACATGAATTATCAATCAATTGGATTATGAGATAAACATCACTGTACATCTATTTACTACACAGAGTTTAGCTATAAAGCTACAGTACTGACTAAAACAAACAAGCTTTGTAATTACTGTTGTTGTTTTGTCACATTGTTGCCAGATAAGTACACAACAAGACAATTATAAAAATGGAAGTCTTGGCAAAGATTATACGCTCTGATATCACTGCCAAAAACAATTGGCATAATAATAAAAAACAAGATAGTGTAATGTAGCTAATAAATTGGACTTTTTACAAATTTTTAAAGTTAGACCAAAATCCCTGTACTATAGTACAGGGCCTGGGCCAAATTTTGTCAAAAATGGCTAAGAAAGAATTCTTAATTTTTATAATTTTTTCTAATACATATACATGTTCTTATGTTATGTAGAAAGTTTGAGTTGATTCCAATAAAATTGGATTTGTTACAAATTTTTTAAGTTGCTAAAAAATTGGGCCGAATAACACTTAATTTATACAGGAAACCAAATGAACACTCATTGATTTGTCATGAACCCTTCACTTACCACTTGTGCAGAAGAGCTCCTGCTAAGAGATGGTAATAGCTCGGTAGTTAATATATAAGTACCTATCAATAATACACAAAAATAAAAATAAAATAAAATAATAATAATAATAATAATATATTATTATTATTATTATTATTAATACATCTATGCACAAACTAATTGTTTTTATTTCATACAAATTAATTTCAATTGAGGTGACTAATTCAACGTAACTGCATTACTCAACATAGCTCTAGCAAATAGTTATTATAATTAATTGATTTACCTAATGTGTTTGTAGCAAAGTTAGTCTCTAACTCATTTTCGTCCAATTTATACTCATGAATCATGCATCCAGCATTATTCACCTAGAGATACAATAAAAATAATTATTATTGTACTCCGATCCACTTTTCTCTTTCTCTCCTTTTCCTCTCTGTCTCTTTATACTGATACATACCAACACATCTAGTTGCTTTTCAGAAGATACAAAATCCCGTGCAAATTTGACGATGTCACGAGGTTTTGACAAATCAAGAAGATGAAGGTGAACTTTCTAAATATAAAAAGACTCACTCAAACAGGAATCAGACTTGCTAATTATATAAATATACACAATAATAAAATTACATTAACTTTCACATCTCTCTAATTTTAAAAGAGGCTAAAGTCCATTCTTCCTTCTTTTCCTACTCTCTTTTGGTCTCACTTCATTTCCTGATTCATTTATGACCTCGTCTTTAGCTTTTAATCCTCTCGTCTCATTACGACAGACCATATGAACAGTTGCACCTGTACAACATATACATGTCACCAAGCCACACCCATTAACCCAACCCACCAACCTCTCTTTGCTAGCTCTAATGCTGTGCACTTTCCTAGTCCACTGTTAGACCCAGTGATCATATAACTTAGACTGTGAGAGAGAATATAATAAAAGATACAATATCCACTTTAACTTACTTGCTAATGTCAACGTCAAGGTCTTCATCATTGAAATTTCTAGCAGCAGTTTCATATCCACCCCTTAGGATTACATGTAATTCATATAATTAAATTATTTATTTTTTGTTTTTTATTATTATTGTTACTTCCTTTCCCTCCCTACTAATCTACCTGGTGAACTCTTTCATTCCTTTAGTATACCACACTATGTTCCTGTACACAGTCCCACCAGCAAACAGTGCCTTTAATGACATTATGTCTTCAGGTTGAGTGAATAGTCCTAGGAAAATGGCAACGAGAGAGACGACTAGTGTTACAAGGATTGCTGCTGTATGCCAGTATCCACACTTATTAGAGTGCTGCATGTGATTCAAGTGCGAGTTATGCTTTGTTACACAATTTTTTACTTACAAGCTCGAGCTGCTTTGCTTTGATGCTTTCCACTAGGTGTGGCTTGTCATATAGACACGCCTTCTTGATAAGTTTTAACGCCCACGCAAATAATTACATACAAGCTAGTATAAATTGTTCAGAAATTAGAAATACACAATAGTTGATAATATAAAAAGATTGTTATATTTTCAGCGACCTAGCCAGCAAACAGACCAAAGCTTTATCAGCATCACCATTGCATTTATCCAACTCCTTGAGTGCTTCAGACCGTGAGAACCCCTTTGATGTAATCTTTAAAATGTCAGACTCTGGGAAAGACTGGGATCCTCCTGTCGCTGTGGGAGCAGGTCTTGCTGTGCTAGTACTAGTAGACTGTCTTGCTTGAGGAGGAGCAGCTGGCAATGGTTGCTCAAAATTTCCTCTTATATTTTGCATCTGATCAAGCATTGGTTTAATCTGAGCACCAAATGGACTGAGGAGAAAAAAAAGAGAGAAAGTTTGGGATTTTTTATTTGATGTCATCGGTAGTAGATTCAACATACGTTTCCAGGACCTCCTGTGGTAGATTAGATATATGTTCAGGTATACTCCTACTGGTAAGGAACTGTGCTATCTCATTTGAGAAAGTGTTGCAATTGTTAGTAAAAAGATTATACGTTTGATTGCTAAAAAAAGATAGAGAAACAAAAAATGATGGTCATGGTCAAATGATTGAGTAACTTTATAAATTCATAAAAAATCTAATTTTGATTGGAATTAGCTGAAACTTTCTACACAGCATAAGAACATGTATATGCATCAGAAAAAATTATAAAAATAGAGAATTCTCTCCTAGTCATTTTTGGTGAAATTTGGCCAAAGTCCCTGTACTATAGTACAGGGACTTTGGCTCAATTTTTTAGTAACTTTAAAAAATTCATAAAAAATCCAATTTTGATCGGAATCAGGTTAAACTTTCTAGACAACATAAGAACATGTATATGTATCAGGAAAAATTATAAAAATGGAGAATTCTCTCCTAGTCATTTTTGGTGAGATTTGGCCAAAGTCCCTGTACTATAGTACAGGGACTTTGGCTCGATTTTTGAGTAACTTTAAAAATTCGTAAAAAATCCAATTTTGATCAGAATCAGGTTAAACTTTCTACACAACATAAAAACATGCATATGTATCAGGAAAAAGTATAAAAATGGAGAATTCTCTCCTAGTCAATTTTGACGACATGCCCTGTACAGGCCTGGCCGTAATTTTAAAAAATTCATAAAAGTCAAATTTTGATCAATAAAAAAAATAAACAATACCTAAACTGAGCAGATATATCTTTTAGATAGTCACGAAAAATCTCCTCGGGCACATCCGTCTCCCCAAGGTCCTCGACTTGATGAGGAGGTCCCATTACTGTACCGCCCTGTCATTAAAAATAATTAATTTCAATAAACAGTGTTGGTAATTTCTAACTTTACCGGGTGTGTGTGCATTATTCCTTCCCCTCCATAGAACCATTCCTTACCATAAACCACAATGCCTGTATGCCTAAATTTTTATGTTATTAATAATACATTAAAAAAACAAAATACCATATTCCATTGATTTGCTTCCCTAAAAATATTAAAATAAGCACAATTAGTTTTAATCAAATCCTCACCGAGGAACAGTGCTGAGAATTGAGAGGCTAATCCCATAGAAAGATCATAAATATATACCTGAACCTTTTGAGGCATTTTGCTGCAAGTTTGGCCACGCCCTAGACACACCTATTTCCTGATTTTAACCTCCACACCCTTTCAGCCCCACCCAAGTCAATCAGTTGCACCACATAAAGCAATCCATTCTTTTGCTTTATCATTTTGGGGTTTTGTGCAATATTTATCAGTAAGTTCCAGCATATAAGAAGAGAATAAATACATTACAACTGTATATTCTTTTATTAGATTGACTGAGCATCGAGTAAAGAGGAAAGAGCGAGATAAACACGTCATGGCAGCAGAGTCAGGGCTAACAGAAGAGCTTGAAACACTCCGGTCTATCTACACTAGTGAAGAACTAGCTGTAATTCAAGAGGGAGAGACAACTGTTATATATAATTACAACTCTTCGATAAAACTGACTATTAAATTGAATGGTGAGTAATATATTGATGGCCTAATTTTATGTTCAGAAAGTTTGAACTGATTCTAACTGTAAATTGAGTTATGAGTGTCTAAAAAGCAGGGTTGACTGAAATGATATATTGAAATATTTTTACAGCTTGTTTGCACCTCAACTTATGTCTCAAGGTGCTAACAAGACTTGTACAGGAATCTTAAATAATTTAAAAATAAACGAATTTTATTGAAATGTTTAACTTATGGGAATATATTAATACTTTCACTGATCAATTTTTAAAATTGATTATTTATTATATCTTTGTAGCTCCTTATCCTGCGTCCCTCCCATCCATAACTGCCCCCTCTCATCTTTCAAGCCTTGGACTCATCAGCCATCTTGAGTCTGTGGCGACACCTCTCCTTGGTACTCCAATGCTTTATGCAATCATTGATGCTGCTAAAGACTGGCTGGATGGCCATGCCCTCAGCTTAGCCCCTCCCACTGGAGGAGGGAAAGAGAGAGGGGATAAATCTCCCTCACCCATAGCTGCTTCGTCTCAAACTACATGCAAGTTTTATTTGCAAGGAAAATGTAGATTTGGCGACAAATGCAAGAACTATCATCCCGGAGCTAAGACTCAGACTGATACCCATACCAAACAAACTGATACTCATACCAGTGCTAGTACTCGGACTCAAACCAAAACCAAAGGAACCAAAACTGAGGCAAGCAACGGAGGAGGAGGAGGTTCTTCATCAAAGAAGACTGATGAAAGAGATGATGAAGATGGCTTTAATTCAAAGAAAGATAAAATGAGAACAGCAACTGAAGTCATATCACGAATACTATGGGACCCTGACTTACCCTCTGAAGAGTTTTCCGTCGGGTATCTTGATAGATTTATTGGGATATTAGAGAAACCTTTCAAAGAGTTCAGTTGGGAGGACATATCTACAGTAGGAGCTAATGTACTAGCGGTACCAAAGCATCGGATACAGTACTTCAAGTACAAGGATCTTATAGTATGGGACAAACGGAATCAAACTGATAACTTCTTTGGATCAAGAGGAGGCCAGACAATACAAGAGATAGTAACTAAGAATCAACAAGCCACTGCCTCACCTCAAGCATCTTCTGATGACCAAGAGTCCCTCAGTCTCTTAGAAGCTGAAACTGAGTATGAACCTGAATCAACAGAGAAGACTTCTCGCTACTATAGCGACGTTACCCGTCCCACCCACTTTGTCTGTCTTCACATTAACGATCAAGAAGTCGTAGATGAAGTAAAGAAAGTCGTGTCACATGTGACTGGTCTTAACCCACAGCTAAAAGAAGGTTTAATTAATATACGAGCGCTTCACGTCACGCTGTGCATGGTAAGACTGACCAGCGATGAACAGATAGAGAAGGCAAAGACTGTACTCCAATCAGCCAGGCTTCAGTTCATATCTTTACTGCCTTCATGTACACAATTAGCATTCACTGGTGTAGATAATTTCAGGGAGAGACTCATTTATGTTAAAATGAAAGAAGAGCCGTCTCTTTCTAAATTTGTCTCTCATCTGATAGAGCAGTTCCAACTAGCTGGTCTTAAGACCCCAGGGAATCACGAGGAATACACTCCACATATAACCATTGTGAAGCTATCCCGACCAATGCAGAGAGAGCTAAAAACAGATATTATCAACCCAGCCTGTTACCAGCCATACCTCAGCCACTCTCTTGGACAACAGCCAGTTAGTAGTGTTTATCTGTGCTCCATGCATGCTCCTGCTCAGGAGGATGGGTTCTATCTTCGTTACTCTACGCTATCTAATTCCCTCCTGGGTCTCCCCGAGTCGTTTGTGAGTCTGGTACAGAATCAGTTTGGGTTGTTAGCTGATTTGGGGTATTTGAGTGAGACTGATCGAGATGCTCTCCTCTCTGATTTGAGATCAACCGTTCAAGATCAAAACGAAGAGAGATTTGACGAAATCATTGAAGAGCTGATGCGCCTCAATAAAGAAGCAATGTCATTTGAGTCCCTCTTTACATTACAACCTTGTGTCGTTATTCTTAGAGGTCTGCCGGGCTCAGGAAAATCTTTTCTAGCCTCACACTGTCAAGAAGTACTCAAGAATACAACAAAGACAGTCATTTTATCTGCCGATGATTATTTCACAGGTAGAAGGGGAGAAGAGGAGAGGGAGTATGTCTTTAATCCTGCCACTGCATACAAGGCGCATCAACACGTCCTGCACCAGTTCCTCTCTTCACTTGCTAATGGGGTCAAACTAGTCATCATTGACAATACCAACACACAGCTATGGGAGTACAGGATATACACTCATATATGCGACGTGCTTGGATATCCTTATCACATATTAGAGATACCATTCCTCTCTTCTTCTAATTTAGCTGAGCTGTATCGATCCCGTAACGTGCACGGCATACAACCGCCAGCGATTGTTAAAATGAGCCAACGCTGGGAGGAAGATGAGAGGAGAATACTAGTACCGCCAAAACTAGTCTACCCTCGTTCCTCCTCCTCCTCCTCTTTGGAGCCCCCATCTTATTCTCTACTCTCTTTATGTGGTACACAATCCTCTTCTCTCACTGATCTTGCCAATTCCGATTGCAAGATAGTACCTGTCTATACTGGCCTATTCCTCTCTGTTGAGTCACAGTGGGAGCTACTCAAAACATATCGTCCTGCCCACTCGGATCTATTTGGGTCTCACGTGACACTACACTTTAAACCCACGGCCCGTCAATTAGGGGAACTCCCTCTTGGGAAGAGAGTCCAAGTGCAGGTACTGGGTGAGTCTGATAATGGACGAGTCCAAGCTGTTGTTGTTGAGTTGCCTAGTCATGTGACTAGTGAGAATAAGAGCCCCCACATTACTATATCAACAGTACCAGGCCTGCCTCCTAAGCTGGCTAATGCCATGCTCCAGTCTAAATTAATTAAACAGAATAAACTGATTTATCTTGAAGGAGTTCTTGGACTTGTGGTGCGTCAAGCCACACGAGAGGAGAGAGAGGGGAAAGAGTTAATGGATGAGTCTCTCTCTTCTCTATCATTTCACACCATCACATCACAGACTGAATTGAAGTCGATTGCTCCTAAGCTGCTATACACTGATAATGATGAGGCTAGTCCTGTTGCTACGTCGATTCCTTATAAAGAAAATGCTGGGATACTCACAGGGGAGCAGGAAATCACACAATTATTTATATTTGATTTTGATGGTACGTTATTCATTCCTCCTGGTAACTATGAAGGGAGGAGAGAATACGAGAGATTGACTGGCAAGAAATGGCACAGAAAGGGTTGGCTGACTCATGCAGACTCTCTCCTACCTCCTCTTCATGTACAGCCCGGCCCTGCTCTCTCGGACTATCGCTCTCATGATAACAGAGCTGGGAGTTACACTGTGATACTGACTGGACGCACTGACAGTGTTAGACTGGGACTAGTGTATGTATTGGAGAAATCACAGCTGTATCCACAAAGGATCATATGTAAACCTAATGAGACGAGTGAGACTACCTCTGCATACAAAATGAGAGTTGTTAAGGAGTTACTTGAGGAGCTACCTAATGTCAACCTGGTGAAATTTTGGGATGATATTGCCGAGAATTTATCTGCTATACAGCGCCTGGCTACTCAAAAGGGAAAGGGTTTTGGTCGTCCTGTTCAGTTTGAGATCATTGATGCTACCAAAATGAGTGACATTCATGGGGACATTCGATCCCCAAAGAAGCGTCTCCCTAATCCAGTGACACAGTTTGGGTCTTACCTACAAGGATACCTCACTCTTCACGGCCTCCTTCCTTCCCTTGATCACAAGGCAGGGATACAAGAAGGACTACTCTTTATCTCCACCCAGTTTGCTAAACTTGTTCACTACAACGGAGACCCACTGAACCTCTCGTACGAATTTGGTTCTAGTCCACTCAATCGTATTGGTGATGTTGATGTTTGTCTCTTAGCTCCACCTGGCCACACTCACATAGAATGGCTCCAGCTATTAGCAAAAGAGCTAGAAGCTTGTGGCATGAAGTATGTGCATGTTGGACACAGCTCAAGATGCCCACGTCTTAAGATATTACTCCAATTCTCTCACACTCCTAACATTGAGTTTGATATTGTTATAGCAATAGTACATAAGGAAGAGTTCTTTAGCAGAGGAGGAGAGGGAAAGATGTCAGCCTCGAAGGTGGGAGAGACAAGAGAGGCTGGGGACAGTGTTAGTAAGATTGCTATTAGTGGTGCCTTGTTTATGGAGAGGATAGAGAGTATGGTTAAGAGGACTGGTGTCTCACTGGAGACAATAGGAGGAATGGTTGAAATGACATTACAGCTACTAATGGCCAAGAGAGAGAAGGGCAATGCATATCATTGCATTAGGAGCTTTCACATTGTTAAACTACTCATTGATTATATTGATAGCCACTCTCAATTACCCTCACTTAATCATGATGAGCTGTTCAAATCATTCATCTATCATGTCTCTCAGATGACGTTCGACAATTGGAAGAACCTCCTCACCGAGTTTGTTCCCGAAGAGTACATACCACGACTCATGAGTATCTTTAAAGAAGCAAGTACCATACTATCAGTAGAGACCATCTCATTGCCAGTATATGAGGATATACTGAAGAGGAGTGTGTTCCCACCTGATGGATATACTCCTGTTGAAATAAGACTGTCTGGTACTGACAGTTTGAAGAAATGGAAGTCAAGGATGCTGATAGAGGCTAGACTACCTTCTTATATACGGCAGCTCCTCTCCCGTGGTCTGGATGTAGTGTCTAATGGTAATAAGAATAATGACAGGTTCTGTTTTGCTGTGCCTCAGTCCGATTCGTCAAAAGGAATCCTTCAACAAGTCCTGAGACCTTTCTGGAATGAAATGGCTGATATCAAGAAAGAGGATGGAGTCTCTATCCACCTAACATTAGGATTACCTACTGATGCACAATCACATGTTAATGCTGCTACTGATTCAAGAGCCAGGGGCGTGTTGGAGTCTGTTAGATTGTTTGTATCATCAGAGCAGAGGGAGCTGCACCTGCCCTCATCACTCACAGCTCATACTAGATTACTGGTTCATGAAACTGCCGAGACATTAGGTCTAGCTCATAGTTCAGTTGGTAAAGGGAATAACAGACACATTGTACTGAAGAAATTATAACTTTATTTATAAATTTTACTTTGAGTTTGTAAATTTTGAAGAGATTTGTAGTGAGTCTATTATTTTTTTGTTTTTACTTCAGTATAATTATTGTGTTAAAAGTGCTACTATTGCATTGACCTGTGCATTCCAAGTCTGTGGGAGTAAGAGTATTATAGTTTAAGCTTGAATCATTTTGCTTGAGTGAATTTTGTTAAAAACCAGCATTCTAGCATCAACTGGAGGGTGGGGCTAAATGAAGGCGTGGCTCTATCCACGTGGAGTTGTAAGTTGTAATGGGGGACAGATTAAGTGATTTGCCCCCAGCCTATCAAGCCAGAATAAAAGCAGGATTAAAGATATCTGCCGTTTGGGCTGGATTTATACTAACATCAGCTGGTATATTTATCTGTAGTAAACCTTACCTTGATAGGAGGAGGGAGGAAAGAGAAAAGGCTGCCCTAGTCTCAGACCCTTCCTCAGAAAGCGAAGGGGCGGGGCAAGAGACTAAGGCTGCCCAGAATATTAATATTATTGATAAGGACTCTGATAAGGAAAAGATTCCTTCATGAAATAGTAAATTAGTATTTTGTTTATTAATTATTTGTCCTCTTTTTTTTAAAGGTGAAATATGGAACAAACTAAATTTATGGCGTATTTAAAAGAACTATTTGAACCTTTGTGTGTAAGCACTATAATTAGTAACACTGCTATTAATAAATTATTATATATTTAATTGATCAGAATCAATTATCACTTCATGTCGGTGATGTCATAGAAAATTTGTGTGCTGAATTAGCCACACCTCCTTTAACGAGCTCAGTCAGAGTAAATACCTTAAAAACTCCAATAGTATCTGAAGGAGTTGAGTCAGTCAAAGACGTATTAGAAAAGGTTTGAATATTAGCCACCGACAAAAAGATATTAATTGCTCGTGCTTTAGTATTGCAGAGAGAGAAATTGCAGTACCTCTATATCAATGAGTGTCCATCCTTTATTGCCTGATGTATTATTAATTGAAGGAAGTGGCCCACATTCTGATCTGAGACTCTACGATAAAGAAATTCTTGTTGAAATGACTTGTGGTCAATCCGTTCTTCGAGGGGCCGACGTTTATGGGCCTGGAATCCTTGGTGCTCCGAAAGGTTCCTAAACTAATATTTAGCTGGGAATTATTTCCATTTTTTTAATATTCAGATTTATTTATTGGAGAGTCAGTCTCAGTGTATGCTGATTCTGGGAATGAGAGCAGGAAAGGTTTGGTTAAGAAATATGACGGGCCTAAGGTTTACATCGGTAACGGCAAAGCCTGTCAGACCAGGGCAGACTGGTTTGGACCATCTGCTAAAAGCAGGTATTATGTATTATGTCAAATTAAAAATTTTATTTTAGATTTCATATAGTGGATTGGCTATAAGAATGACGGACCCTCTCTATATTTCTCCCTCACTCAATGAAATGCTGTTAAATGATGTTGCATTTCCACAGAGTTTGCCATCACTGGTAGTGTCACACGTACTTAAACCGACCGAGACCGACCGGGTATTAGATATGTGTGCAGCACCAGGTGGTAAGGCAACTCACCTAGCTACACTAATGAGAAATAAAGTTAGTATGATAATTTTAAAAATTATGACCAAAATTGTTGGAAATCGGTCATTTCAAAGGGAGTAATAATAGCCCTGGATAGATCAGCTGGAAAAATGAAGTCATTGAAGCACAATGTCAAGAGATTTGGTTTGACTAATGTCCATTGCTTTCATCATGATTCAACAGCTGCTTGCTCTAGCAAATCAGATGATGCTTCTTCTCAAAGAAACTGTATGAGCGTATCATTTATTATAATTTTATTTTCCTTGCAATGTATTAGTCCCTGGGCCCCCTCCTTATCCACCTGCATTTTTTGACAAGGTCCTATTGGATGCTCCTTGCAGTGGACTGGGTCAAAGACCTAGGTTTAACTTTTCAATAAATTTAACAGACTTCACATCACTGCCTCTCTATCAGAAGAAACTATTAGCTCAGGTATTAATTTTTTATTCAATCCAGCTACCTTGACTCTCTTGTAGGCTGTCCTATTACTAAAGCCAGGTGGTAAGTTACTCTATTCGACCTGTTCTTTGTCACCTGAGGAAAATGAAGCTCAAGTGAAGTGGCTGCTCTCAACATTCAAAGAAATGATTCTAATTGAGCAAGTAAGAGTGATTATGCTTTCCTAATCGATCACTCCTTCTCTTTAGTCTCCAGTGATTGGATACCCTGGCCTTAGCATGTTTGAATTGTCGCGTGAAGAATGCTTGAAACTTCAAAGATTTGGTCCAGCTGCATTTAATAAGCAGCTATCATCTTCACCTCTTTCTCTTGATACCATTGGGTTCTTCATTGCACTGTTTGAAAAGAAAAATTAAAAATGAAGAAAATAAAGCTCAAGTTGTTTGACACAATAATTTTGAATGGCCGTCTTAAAAAAATTTGTTCAACGCCCACGTGTGTGGGGGCGTGTCAGAGGCGTGGTATCGAATGATAAAAAGTAAAAATCTTTAAGAAAGGGCAAAGCGTCGGTTGCTCCTGCTAGTCCAGTCGTAGAGTTTTATCCTTTATAAAGAATGCCTGGAGGGGTAGGAAAGAATAAAGGAGCCAGTACCGGGTCCGTTCATCAGAAGAGCAGACACGTTAAAGCCAAGAAACAAAAGAAAAGGTTTATGAGGGCAAAAGACCCAATTCAAGCCGTCTTTATGTGGGGGATACAGCACAGTGTAAGAGATACATCTCACTAGTATGTATGCGCCTCTCTCTCTTTTTCTCCAGATTAATGAAATAATGCTACAGCCAGAACCCTCTCTATTGCTTGAGGAAGACTTTAAAGCTTTCAGTAAGATCCGAGTCGAGAATCAACATTACAGCAAGTGAGTAGGCGAGGTTTGTTTGTTTGTTAATCCTCTCATGTCAAAACAGAGAGTACCTCCCCGGCCATTTCAAATTCAAAGAATATTGCCCGATTGTATTTCATGACCTTCGGAAAAGATTTAAGATCGATGACTACGACTACATGGTATACGAAAATTATGTTTGCTCTCTTTTTATCTTCTTCTTCCTTCCTCTCTCTCTCTCTCTCTCTCTCTAGTCTTCTTTGACTCAGCATGCTCATCTAGCGATGGACAATCCTGGGAGAAGCGGTTCTACTTTCTTTGTAACGAGTGACAAGAAGCTAATCATCAAATCCTTGAGCTCTGAGGAAGTTGCATTGTTACATCAGATATTGCAACCATACCATGCAGTGAGATAAGATTATTTAATCACTATTATATTCTCTTTCTCTCCCCCTTCTCTCTCCCTCTCTCTCTATCTTAGCACATAGTAACACAAGAGGGTCAAACTCTCCTTCCTCAATATCTTGGCATGTATAGGCTAACAGTCAATAGTGCCGAGACGTATTGGATAGTAATGAGAAATATACTGAGCCACAAGTACAAGACACATCTCAAGTTTGATCTGAAAGGATCCACTGTTGACAGGGCGGCCAGTGAAAAGGAAAAGGTGTGATAATACAACATGTGTACACGTACATTTATGTAATTGCGTATATTATAATATTGACATGTGATATGCCACCACCTACGCATTCTCTCCTTTTCTCTACTTTCCCTCCTCCTCCTCCTCTTCTCTCTCCCCTCAGGCTAAAATAAGACCAACTTTAAAGGATAATGATTTCATTCAAATGGAACGCAAGATAATGATTGGCGATGCATCAAAAGCTTCTTTCTTATCCATACTTGAATCTGATGTTGGAGTGAGTTTACATACATGTAGTGTACATATACTGTGATTGGAATCTGCTCACAGTTTTTACCTACCTACAGGCTACATGTAGCATACTGTAGAACTTGTACAATGTGCATGTAATAGTATTGGTTGATAATAGTGTAAAAGAGTAATTGTATTTTTGAATTTAGAGTTTATTTCCAAGGGTGCTATATTGTTATTATGTTGTACAGCAAGTTTGAGCTGATTCAAATTGAAACTGAATTTTTTTACGAATTTTCAGAGTTACTCAAAAATTGGGCCAAAGTCCCTGTACTATAGTACAGTGTCCTGGTCCGAATTTTGCCAAAAATGACTAGGAGAGAATTCTTCATTTTTATAATTTTTTCTGATACATATACATGTTCTTATGTTGTGTAGCAAGTTTGAACTGATTCCGATCGAAATTAGATTTTTTACGAATTTTTAATTGATTCAAAATTTGAAATTCATTCTTTTTAATTTTTATATAGCTGCTAGAAAAATTGAACCTAATGGATTACAGTTTGCTGGTTGGTATAACAGATTTCGGAGCTGCTCCCACGGACTCAGATGACGAAGAATGGCTGGATGACGACGATGTTGATTTCTCTGGTGACGAACTAAGAGAAGACTCACCTACCTCACCTCTCCCTGGTAAGCCCCGCCCATTAATCATGCCCACTAATCTTACACTAATAGATGATATGGGGAAGAGCAACGTTGAGGGTGAACCGACTTCCCCTGTACCTCCAACAGGTGCATCTCCTCCTAAAGCGGAGGAGCTTGTTGTCATCAAAGAAGACGAAGTCATTGAGAGTAACTGATGATATCAAAACTAACCAAAAATTTATTTTTTATTAGAAGAACCTTCTGGAAGTCCAACTGGTGCCGCGTCACCAGTGTATCGGCCGATACTGGTCAACGGAGAGAAGGAAGTGGTTCAAGCTAAGGCAGACGGTTATTATCCTATCATTGATAAGTCTGTAGACATATTTGCTGTACTGTCTCTACCAGGTTAGAGAGAGAAATTTTAGAATCTGTTTAATTTTGATTTTTACTTTTTGTTTATTATTATTTATTTTGATAAAGAATCGAGGAAGGAAGTATATTACATTGCAATTATTGATGTACTGACTAACTATGGTGCCAGGAAGAGAGCAGCACATGCTGCTAAGACAATGAAGCATGGAGTAAGAAAAAAATAATGTTTTCAATATTACTACTCTCCTCTCTTTGTCTCTCCTAGCATGGTGCTGAAATATCGACAGTTAAACCTGGACAATACGCAAGACGGTTTTTAGATTTTGTACACAAAAGCATCCAGTGAACTAAGATAATAATAAAATCACTGTGTTTGTGTGTTTAATGGTGTTGTATGGGTAGTCCTTCTCTTTCTTACAAGGAATGGAGCATGGGTTAACTATGCAATACCGTGTGTATGTACGTGTGTGTGTGTTTGTTATCTTTTATTGAATAATGTTTGTATCATGTGATTTTCACGTGACAGAGTCCTCGTATGTATTGACATTATCCCTATTAATATTATTATTATCATTATTATTATTATTACTGTTATTATTATTATTATTATTATTATTATTACTATTATTATTATTATTGGGAAAATCGAAATCCCAAAAATTATTGAAAAAATTAAGTATTAACGCCCCCGCATTTAGTCCCACCTCATGCCACATGCCAGTAGCTCTAAATTAGATTATGCATAACCAGTCGTGCAAAACAATGGAGCCGCCTTCTCTTCACTTGCTCTCTTGTTGCAAAACAAGGCGAGGGATTCTTGCGTGTCTACTCACATTGTTGCTTACATTATTTGGAGGTTGTTTTGTGCTCCTTAGAGAAGATGGTACTGCTATGAAGTACGTTATGAAGCCACCAGAAGAACCAAGAGACGCTCTCAAGCTATCCATCTCAACTGAGAACATAACTGACACAGATGGATCGAATGGAGTGACTGGGTACAACACTACTGATGCAGGGATTGATACTGGCCCTTCTCTTTCCTCTACAGCCAGCCTGCACGTAGACTATGACAGATATGGTGATCAATTCGAATACTTTCCTCCTAGGGGAAGAGTCAGAAGGAAGAAGAAAAGAAAGCACACTCATCATAGTCCTACATTAGTAGATCATCCTTGGACGAGCCCTAAAAATGACAATATTTCTATGTATGCTCACAGATTCCCTCATTATTTCATCATTGGTTTTGCAAAGACCGGTACAAAAGCACTTTATGAACTGCTTAAAATGCACCCTCAGCTTGATGGGCCGAGACGAGAAATGAGATATTTCAGTAGTGGACAGATCCAAAATTTAACAAGCTATCTCTCTCGGTTCCCTCCTCCCCCTGCTCAAGGGTACACTATTGAGAAGAGCCCAGACTACATTCTCTCTCCATTGCCTGCCGTAAGGCTTAAGAAAGCAGCTATTGAGAGTGGAGTAGAGACCTCAAGCTTGAAATTTATAGTGATGTTTCGTAACCCGGTCGTGAGGAGTGTATCAGATTATTTAGAGATGGTTTCGTGGAGCTACATGAATAGAAAACCAGCTCTACCTCCATTTGACATGATGGTGCTATCACCTGATAGCAGGGTTGATGACAGTCTTAATATCATTAATTCGAGTTGCTACAGTTATCATTTGAAGCAATGGTTTAACATCTTCGGCAAGGATCAGTTCTGCTTTGTAAATGGAGATCAATTCATTACAGATCCTTACACAGAAGCAAAGGCATTGGAGGAATGTCTTCACTTAAACTCTTTCTTTACCAAGAAAAACTTTGTTTTCAATAAAAAGAGGAAATTCTATTGTTTTAAAACATCGAATGCTCCTATGTGTATGAGTGGAGCAAAGGGAAGGAAGCATCCGTTTGTGAGTGAGGAAGTGGTTACTACACTGAAAGACTACTTCAGAGCATACAATGAAGAACTCTATTCTCTTATCAGTAGAAGTTTTGATTGGGAAAGTAGCATGAAATCTTAATAAATATGTTCAAAAACAATCTGTTTGTACAGCAAAATTAATTAAAATGTAAAATTACATGCAGCACACAGCAAAATAATATATTCACGTTAATCAGGAAGTAGTTTTGGGATAATTTGGCGAGTAAAGTTGTCCTTTTACTCTCTGCACTAGTTTATTATCAGCAACCCAGTCAGTCCCACGGCCTTCCTCTTGAAACTGCTTGATAAGTCTCTCCCTCCACATCAGTAAGGTTTTCTTCCAAGCTGGATCATCAGAAAGGTCATGCAATTCACCAGGATCATCATCTAAAGAAAACAACTGCTCATTACCAAAGTAAGCCTGGTAGATGTATTTGGTGTGTCCATCTGTTAGTGCATTCCAATGATTGGTTGCATTATAGCATATGTCATGCTCCAGGTCTATGTACTCCCTCCAATCCATTTCCTGAAGGAGCAATGGCTTCAGAGAGCTACCATTTAGTTTCACGTCTTCTGGTATCTCAATCTCTGCAAAGTCTAGCACAGTTGGGAAGATGTCTCTTAGCTCAACCACCTGCGATAGTGTGGACCCTCTTGGTAATACAATCTTGACAGTGTCAGGCCATCGTAAGAGCATTGGTATATGAGCTGAGCCATAATAAGGATAGCCTTTCCTCCAGTGGTAGTGGTCACCCATCATGTCACCATGATCTGCAGTGAATATTATAACAGTATTACCAGTTAGATCTCTCTTTTCCAGAGCTGCAAGTATCTGACCAATCCACTCATCAACAAATGACACACTAGCAAAATAAGCCTGTCTTGACTCCTTTACTTGCTCACTCCCCAAGTCACCACACCATATGCCAGGAGATGGTGTAGTGTTATACTTTACAGCATATCTTTCATCCCAGTTGCCTCCTTGATAAGGCAAGGGTAGCTTAACATCTTTATAATTATCTAGCCATCTCTGTGGTGGATCATACGGGCTGTGTGGGCGGTGAAAAGAGACCTTGAGGAAGAAAGGCTCTGACCTACTGTAGTTTTGTATAAAATCAACTGCAGATCTACCAACCCATGCAGTTGGATGATAATATTCTGGTAAAGCATATGGTCTTCCACGATAGTCATTAAAGGTCAGACCAGTTTTCATTGGATCTACTCCTGGCATCTCTTTAGCGAACCAGTGATCATAGTCGTCAAACTCAGAATTCTCTTCTAGCCCATCATACAGGTAGGTGCTGTTGTATCCGTGTGACATACCTGAATTAGCTGTCTTGTTCCATCCGAAATGATCTTTGCCAATGGAGTGGGTGTAGTAACCATTCTCTGACATTACACGGGGCATTTCGTAGCTATACCTGTGAGCAATGCTCCCATATCCTAGCATACCGTGATACCAGGGAGAGAGACCAGTAAGGAGGGCAGAACGAGCTGGAGTGCATGTTGGAGTAGAGCTGAAAGCTTTGTCAAATCTGACTCCTTCTTTAGCAATACCGTCAAGATTAGGAGTGATGGCGGCTTTGCTTCCACTACAGCCCATTGCATCCTCTCTCATTTGATCTGCCATCATAAAGAGGATATTTGGAGCTCCATGAGTTAGCCCAAGACAGAGACAAGTGATTACAAAAGTGCAGAGAAGGGAATTAAAGAAAGCCATTTTGCTGCAATCTCAGCATCCAGCCCCACCCAAAAATTAGGTAATATTCATACCTTGTGGTGTTGCTAAAACAAAATTTTAGTTTAAGGTCAATGAAATACAGTATTATTGCTGATAATACACCAAGAAAGAAATACTAGTCTACAATAAATAAGACACTCAAATACACAATAATTATAGTTCTATTAAGTTGAAGCAAAAAGCATTAATAATCCTAGCAATAGCAATAAATAAGTAATATTAATGATTGTTTCATAATCACGAGAAGGTGATTCCGGCCTCTCTATAAACAGTGTATATCTTTTCTAGTGCACAGACGTAAGCAGCTGTACGCAAATCAAGACCAAGATCATACTCACGAACAGCTCGCATTATTTGCTAACAGCAATAATTTTAAAACAATAACAAAATTTATTGTGTACTTACTCTTGCTGATCTCTCCATTGTATATTGCAGACCAGAATGAACGATATCTTTTTCAGATGCACCCTAATGTAATAATAAACAAAAATTCAAATGCAATAAAGTGAATAAACTCACTGCTATGTGATCCTGGAAATCTGGTGTTGGCTTGATTGGTATCTTTTGACCAAATTTGTGCTCCAAGCTTTTCTCAACAGATTCTAAGCAAATAAAAATAGTAACAATAATAAAAGTGTTATCTTCATCATTGGACTGTGCTTAAGTTTCTCAAAGAATGTGTACAAAAATGGCTCAAAGATTTCAAGATTTGCTACAAACTTACGTAGGAGATGCGTGTTACTCTCTTCCTCGTATTTCCAAGTTAATCTTCCAAAGCTGACATGATTGAGATTCTTAAGCCATTCAAAATATGATACTGTAACACCGCCAGCATTACAAAACATGTCCTAATAGTTAGAAATAGTTCAGTAATAATAATTATTAATAGTTATTCAGTTACTGGTATCACTAAGATGTTTTTTTCATGAAGTATCTTTTCAGCTGCTATTGTAGTTGGACCATTAGCACCTTCAGCAATTACCTAATAATAATAATAACAGGGAAAATAAAATAATATTAAAATCTATACAATTTATTAGTTTACTTTAGCTTTCATTTTTTTAGCAACAGCAGCAGTTATTTGTTGCTCTCCAGCAGCTGGTACTAAGATGTCACATTGAGCAGTTAATAAATTCTCATCAGTTTGTTCGGCACCAGGGTAACCAATAATGGAGCCATTGTTACTCTAGAGAGGAGAGGAAGATTAAAAGAACAATAATAATAATAATAATAAAATTCCTACTTCTTTATAATCTTCCAGCTGCTTAGGGTCAATTCCGTCAGCATTATAAATTGATCCATTGTACTCCATGACTCCAATACACTTACCACCAAATCGTGTTAAGTAGCGCATTGAATGCAAGCCAACATTACCAAAGCCCTTCAAAAGAGGAAGGAGGAGATGAAAGGGTGTGTGTGTGTGTGATTCCTTACTTGTATGATAAATGTTTTCCCCTCAATGCCAGTTGATAGACCAATCTTTGAGCAATATTCCTCTGAATCAAGGAAACTTTTAATGCTGTGAAACACACCCTTTCATTAGAAGAGAGTTAAGAAATAAACAAAGAGAAGAGTGAAGAGTATTATTTCTTTTATAAGTCACTGTGTGTGTACAAAGCATGCCAAGTGAGCTGAACATGTTTCATGAGCTGAAATGCAGTACATGTAAATGGAAATTAAACTAACTTTTAAAATTCGTAAAAAAATCAAATTTGATCGGAATGAGCTCAAACTTGCTACACAATATACGAACATGTATACATTTCAAAAAAAAAAATAAAATTGGAGAATTCTCTCCTTGCCATTTTTGATGAAATTTGGTCAACGACACTGTACTATAGTACAGGGACTTTGGCCCAATTTTTAAGCAAATTTAAAAATTCATAAAAAATTCAAACTTGATCAGAATCAACTCAAATTTGAAACATAACATAAGAACATGTATATGTATCAGAAAAAATTATAAAAATGGAGAATTCTCTCCTTGCCATTTTTACCAAAATTTGGCTAGCAACCCTGTACTATAGTACAGGGACTTTGGCCCATTTTTTTCAGCAACTTGACATACTAAAGTCCTATGTAAAACCCTCTGTGTGTGTGTGTGTGTGTGTGTGTATCTTCTTACTCTTCCAGTGGCAGATGTCCTCCCATGAATGCCACCTTGAGGTATTGGTTTACCAGTCACACAAGCATGGGCATTAATATCACCATAACCTAATAACAGGAAAAGAATATTGTATACTGGAGCTCTCTCTCTCTCTTTATCTCTACTTACCATGTGTCATTGCATAAGTATCTGCAATCCAACTCATTTCTCTCTCTCCTGTTCCCATGTCTGGTGCAGGTACGTCAAGTCCTGGCCCTATAAATCCTTTCTTTGCTAGTTCCATTGTGAATCTTCTTGTGATTCTCTCCAACTCTTTAACCTGTTTTTTAATACAATGACATCAAGTTACATCACGAGAATGTCATTGTTATTGTTTCTCTTACAGAATATTTCCGAGGATTGATTTTAATTCCTCCTTTAGCTCCACCAAAAGGAACATCGACCATTGCACATTTAAATGTCATCAAGGTAGCCAATGCCTTTACTTCATCTTCTGTAACTTCATCACTGAACCTTATACCTTGAAATAGAAAGAAAGAGAAGGTCAGTCTTGCTGTAGTGTAGTAATTGATGTTAAAATAATACAATAATTACATTACTATAATCAAAAACCACAATTAAGTAATAATGACATCACATTCTCCTTTTGTACTGTGCATGTACCTCCTTTGCAAGGTGTCCTGTGTTGTGAATGCTGTGCCCTCCATGCTTTAATTATCTCCATTGTCCCATCTTCACGATGAATAGGAAAGCTAACGTGAAGTACATGATTACAAGGCAGTATCAATTGAAGGACTCCCTCAATGAAGTTCTTTCTGTCGGACATTGGGACTTTATTGTCTTGTTGTTGCAGCTTATCGACTACAATTTTAGTAGCCTGGAGGTGTGAATAAGGAGAGAGAAAGAGAGTTACATCAAATTTAGATATTATCTCTCTCACTTTACCTTTTCGCTGAATTTCAAAACCATGTCGTTGAAGCTAAGACTGTCTTCATCATTACTGACCGGAGCGGTTGAGTAGGAAGAGGAGACAAGAGAGGGACAGAAGCGGTTAGCTGTCAAAGTCAAGCCTCTTCTTGACGCTTTCAAGAAATGCGACAAACTCATCTATTAATAATAACAATATAAAGCAATAAAGGACTCCTTTATCTGTACTTTTATTTCCTCTGCTAGCTAGAGGGAGTGTAACAGAGTACTGTGCCAAGAGAAGAGGAAGCTGAGGAACAGCTAACTGTGGTCAGATCTCAGATGAAGGGCGTTAGGAGGGCGTTGTCCTTAGCAATGCAATTTAGTCAATAACTTTTAATAACCAGTGATTGCGTGGGCGTTAGCTCAGCCTCAGACACGAGTTAGAGTTTTCGAGCCGAAAGAAAAGATGACTGCTTCTCCTCTGAATTTAGAGCTCAATACTGATAGGTATGTCTCTCTGATGACTAAGCTGATTGGAGAGACAGAATTCCTACAAAACAATCCTCCGAAATTTGTTCCACAAGAGGATAGGTGAGAAGAATATCAGTGACAATGCCCTTTTTTTCATTTATAATACACAATGTATTTCTTATAATGCAGAGCTATAAAGCATCTTCTTGAAGTTCTCAAGCCTCACTCAACTGAGAACGGTGGCCCATTGACTATAGAGCATGTGACGTATGTTGAAGGACGTGGTAATCTAGTGATCGGTTACACCCCCACTGGAGCCGTGGACACCGTCTCATTCGTTGGTAGCCATTTGGACTGTGTGCCTGCTAATCCTGAGACTTGGGAAAGAAACCCTTTCAAACTTACACAAGAAGTAATGTAATACCACATCACTCCTTATCACTCTCCCTTCCTCCTTTAGGGTGACAAGTTGTATGGACGTGGTACTACTGATTGCCTGGGACATGTTGCCTTGATAACTGACTTGTTCCTCCAGCTGGCTGAGAAGAAGCCTCAACTCAAACGCTCCGTTTGGGCAGTCTTCATTGCTAGGTATGTACATGAACATGTACACACCATTAAGATATAGTATATCTATAGTGCATCTATTGTACACAAGTTGTATTAGGATTAATAATCAATTCTTGTTATCAAGGGGCGAGCTAGGTTATGAGGTTACGATAACAGTCACATGATAATCATTACAAGATTGCATCATGTTCATCTACAATAAACACTAAAACAACATACCATCAACCACTATTAATGTATTTCAATGTACCTGTGTGTACTGGTTTTAGCAAGGGATCTCCAGTGACACAAACATCACTACTTATAATTGAAATTAGCACTTTAGCAGAGCTAGAACCAAATCCCTACACAAAATTACTTAATTTTATTAATATTTTTTACAAGACACATGAGCATAAGTCAGAAATGAAATAAAAAGGTTTTGAGTAGTACGTTGTATGGTTGTTTATTGATGTTGTAGCGAAGAGAATTCTACAATCCCTGATGTTGGTGTTGATGCCATGTTGAAAGATGGCAGGCTTGAAAGGTACAAGAATGGGCCAATATACTGGATAGACTCTGCTGACAACAATCCTTGTGTTGGTAAGGCTTACTTTGTTGTTGTTGTTTATTGTTGTTGTTTTTGTTAGGTACTGCTTCAGCTGCCATGTGGAAGCTACGTGTTGATGGACGGCTCTTTCATTCAGGACTACCTCATAAAGTGAACTATTAATTATTAATCATTATTTATTCAGTTAATTAATAGGGTATCAATAGTATTGAATTAGCTGATGAGGTCGTATCTTATCTTCAAAAGAAATTTTATGAAGATTATTCAGCTGTAAGTACAAGTTGCTAAAAAATCAGGCCAAAGTCCCTGGATGATTAATTAAAACTCATATTAAATCAATTAAACTCTTTTATCTTCTTTTTGCTTTTTCTTGCCCTCTCACTCTCTCTTAGCATCCTGAAGAAGAGCGTTATAAATTTTCCACCCCATCAACAATGAAGCCAACACAAATAACTTGCTCTGAAGGATCAATCAATCAGATACCGCCTTGGACTGAGGTTAAAGGTAATAAATAATATTGATAACTATTAATAACTGACCATGTTATATACAGGTGATATTCGTCTGACGCCATTTTATGACATTGAGGAATGCACTGCACGCATTGGAAAATATGTTGAAGAATTAAACAATGGTAGCAGTAATTGAAATTATTTAAGTACGATTCATTTATAATTTTTAGATTTGAGTATTTTGCCATGTCGTGGTCCATGCAGCAAGTATGATATCACTGATACTGCTACTGGTGCTAGCTTTAGAGCTAAATTAACCTTTACAATTGAAGGAGCACCTCTTAAAGTATAAACAATTGTTTTTCTTTACATTTATTGTTGTTTGTTAGGGTATTGCTTGTAACATGGATAGTCCAGCTTTTAAGCATCTTCATGCTGCAACACTGGAAGTTTTAGGTGAGAGCAAACCGTTCTCTATCTGTGGGAGCCTCCCTCTTGTTGGTGATTTGCAAAAAGCTGGTTTTGATATACAGGTAATAATCTGATTTTCATTATGCACAGTGTAACCTCTTTATTTTGGACAACATTGATGCTACACACAGAGGTGCTTTTGTATAGGCTTGTACCAATTGCATTACATAATGTCCGCATCATAAAGGTGTCCTTGTTATAGAGCCTCCACTGTACATATATAGCCACTGCATTTTCAGTTATTTATATTTTATTTTGTTTCTTTTGACAGACTTCTGGATATGGTCACAGTCATGTGTATCATGGTGACAATGAATACTGCAGTATCTCTTCTATGCAAAATGCAATGAAGATATTGAGCAAAATACTGGACAAGTATAACTCATAAACTTAAATGAAAAAAAATTCTTGCTATTAGTGACTCTATACTTGATTTGATAGTCTATAACTGTGCTGAATTCTTAAAATTATAATTTTTCTTAAAATGCAAAATTTTGTGCTCATAATCGGCTCAAACTTTCTAAGGACATCAATAAATTGATTGTTTTTAGAGTCATTTTTGAGAACTGTATAGCACAAGGACATCGATGTACAATATTCATTAAAAAGTAATAATAATTATTTAATTAGTTTTATTGAAAACCAGTCGGAGGAGGTCTAGTCCAATTTGCACTTGTGGGTGGAGCAACAAATCTAAAAATAAAAAATTATCAATGAAAATGTATAGAATTGGTAGTTGATACCGTGGCTGCTGGGCAGGAAAACCAGGCAATGGTAGAGGATGTAGTGGAGCATTTGGTGGACCTCGGGCTCTATTTAAAATAACAATAATAATAATAATGGCATTTGGATAATTAAAGCAACTTTTAAACTTCATAAAAAATCAAAATTTGATCGAAATCAGCTCAAAATTGATACACAACATAAGAACATGTATATGTATCAGAAAAAATTATAAAAATGAAGAATTCTCTCCTAGCCATTTTTTACAAAATTTGGCCAATGACCCTGTACTATAGTACAGGGACTTTGGCCCAATTTTTGAGCAAATTTAAAAATTCGTAAAAAAATCAAACTTGATCGGAATCAGCTCAAATTTAAAACATAGCATAAGAAAATGTATATGTATTAGGAAAAAGTATAAACATGGAGAAATCTCACTTTGCCATTTTTGGCGAAATTTGGCCAAAGTCCCTGTACTATAGTACAGGGACTTTGGCCCAATTTTTAAGTAACTTTAAAAATTCATAAAAAAATCTAATTTCAAGAGTAATAAACCCAAACTTGCTACACAACATAAAAACATGCATATGTATCAGAAAAAATTATAAAAATGAAGAATTCTCTCTTAGCCATTTTTGACAAAAAATCAAGTGGTAAACCTTGCATCATGTAATAATTATTAATATAAACTACGTCATCAATAGTGAATGCAAGTGTGAAACAGAAAGCTAAGAATCGATCAGAGTGGTAATTATACACTATAAGTAGTTCATTCAGTAGAGGATGAGGAGCTGCTGTCATCATCAGAAGAAGAAGATTCACTGTCAGATGATGATGAGGATTCTTCCTCTTCTCTTTTCCTTCTTATCATCCCAGATACATTAGTGACTCCAATCAGCGACAGGCGATCATTAATTAATAAATTAATTAATGAAATGAGGCAAACAATAAGTAAAAGTAGATAAAACATCTCCAGTACATTATAACCTACAGTGTCAGCAATGTGACCAGTGGCAAAGACACAGACTACAAACACAAGGTTCTCAAACGAGTCCATTATACCATATATGGTAGCCTCCTGTGATTCGGGTACAATGAAAGCAGGCAGTGGACCCATGCTGGAACAGAAGAGAGAGTCGGAGACTGCATATAAGAACTGAGCAATGAAAGGGATGAATGGAAAGGATGAGGTGAGTAGTAAAGTATGAGTTAGTATTCCTAACGATACACCAGCAATACTCCAGTACACGTGATAGCCAGTGATGTCAATTATCAAACCAAACAATGGTAAAAGGAATATATTCAACCAGGAGAGCAGGCCATTGCCAAAACTGGCCATGTTAATGTTTAGTTTGAACTTCTTTACAAATAAAAGTTGTCCGATGGTAGAGAATGAATCAATGACAGGATCATATAGGCCATAAGCCACTGAGACCAGGACTACATTGAGAGATATGTACTTGTAGAAATTTGCACATTTCTTAACACTCAGCCCTGTTGGGTTTTTCGATGGCTTTGAGCGTTTCCTGTCAAGACAGACAATGAAGAAACAGCAAACAAGAGAAATGAAAGCTGCAAGAGGTCCTAGTAGACAAGTGATACCAAGATGAATGTGTGGAGGTACAGAAATGAAAGAAAGATACTCATAGAATAAATTAGAGAGAGACATTGCCATAGCAGACCCAAGACATTCGGCACTGCTGTTCAAACCAAGTGCAAAAGTCAGCTCTTTCTTCCTGAACCATCTTGCCTGATATATGTACAGCAACATCACGAGCATCTCTTCTGCAATAAAGGTAATGGTCGTACCAAGTACCATTGACCAGTAATGAGAGGTGAATATACCAACACAAAATATCACTTCACCAATGAAACCAGTGATGGAGGCTGCAATTAAACTATACCTAATCCCAAAGTATCTATCAATGAGATATCCTCCTAATATACACAATACAATATTAGGTATGGTACCAAACCCGTCAAGATACTCGTACGTTAAAGTATCAATATCCATCACTTCTATGAGAACCTTTGCTAGACCATCAGTCATGTCATCATTGAAAGTCAAGGAGATCTCAATAAGGCACACCAAAACCAGTATAGAGTACCGGTATGACCAGTGAGAGGGATCACAGAGAAAGGATGGACAGTAAGACCATTGAACCCCTTGCTTAACATGTACACCATCATCATCACTACTACTACTGCTACTGCTGCTGCTGCTACTGCTACTGCTGCTTGATAAACTAAGATCTCCAAATCCCAACTCCATGACAAAGTGATTAAAGTAATGAAGAAAGAGAATGTGTGTGTGTGCATATATAAAGTAAGTCCAGTCTACGCATGTAAAAGGGACAATGGATTTCTAAGGATGTCAAGGATGTTTGGTGAAAGACAAAACTAGACACATGCATCTTTAAATGTATAATAATGAAGAAGACATCATAAGAACTGATCAAGTCATCAAAGGACCACACGTACGCGAACCATAATCATTACAGTCAATTAATTATTATTTATAATAAATTAATTATTATTTATAATAATTGACTTACAATGATGGCGGGAAATTTAGAGGAGGCTAAAGAGAAGGAAAGAGAATATAAACTGAATAAAAATGACCAGTGTAATACATACTCTGGGATTATTAGCGGTTGGGAAGAATCCTTGTAAAGCAGTGATATTAGGTAGAGGAGCAAGAGGGGGAGGAGGAGCAGCTGGTAATTGTACTATACTCTTATCCTTCTTGTGTCTGTAAGCAATATGAGCATCGAGGTCCCTCTGTGATAAATAGCTGCGGCCACACCCTTTATTATCATACCTATGAAAAAAATAATAATACACTATTTTTTAAATTTATGCATAATTCATTTAAATTAGCACACAATACAAAAAATTTTAAAAATACCTTCCCCCACCAAAGGTGCATATATAGACATTGCCCATCAAGGCCTCGTCAAACTGTTGATTGGATTCGTGACACTTGGGACATTCCCCACCAGCTTTCTTTGCACAATCACGACAGAATGTGTGACGACAGTGTTTCTAATTAAAGCACACAATAATATAATATTAACATTAATATTAAGAATAAACACTCAATAATTAAAATTACAACTAATTGATCAAAAATAGCAACGATTGTTTGGGTGTTAATTAGACACAGACCGCTCACCATTCTTCCATATATAAGTATCGGCAGGTCACACTGTTCACATATGTGTATCAAAGGATCGACAATACCGCGTCCAATAAGATTGAGTGGTTGATCCCACTGGAGTGTCTCCCAGGCTTTATGTATAGCTGATACTGTTGAAACAGGCTTCTTCTTTGTCTCATTAGCAGGAGTATTATCAATAATTACTAATAATATAATGGAGAAAGGGAGGATGAAGAAAATTTTAAAAGGAGGAATAGCTGTTATATTTTACCATTGGTTGGTTGTGCCTTAACAGACGGTATGGCAGCTGGTTCCTTTAATTTAAGGGCTATATTTCTTCTCACTGAACCTCCCTCCATTTTTTAACTCCACGTGGAGACCACGCCCATCAATTAATAATCCCTTTCTTTCTTTTCCTCCCTCGCCTCGTGTGCAAAGATGGTGAGTTGAATCCTTTAGCAACGTTACTTATTCTTTTTATGTAATGATAATAATAGTATCAACCCGTTCAGTAGTTACCATATTGTGTAACAGTACCATTTATTTTTATGTTTTACATACTTCTCGAGATAATTCTAAAAATGATTATTGATTTTTTAGGCTGACACAGCTACTCTAAGAACAAGAAAATTTATGACAAATAGGCTATTGAAAAGACGTCAAATGGTAAGTAAATAAATTAGTTTATTGATAAGGAATTATGTTAATTATTAGGTACTGGATGTACTCCATCCTGGGCGTCCTAATGTACCAAAGAAAGAGCTAAGAGACCAGCTGGCTAACATGTACAAGACAACGTCCGATGTTGTCGTCTGTTTTGGTTTTAGAACTGCCTTTGGCGGTGGAAAGTCCTCGGGCTTTGCTCTTATTTATGATAGTATGGATGCATTGAAGAAATTTGAACCTCGTTACAGACAGATACGGGTATGGAATTACTGGGGATTATATGAGTTGGAAATTATCATTTAATTACAGCTGGGGCTGATGGAGCCAAAGAAGGTGACCAGGAAGCAAAGGAAAGAACGAAAGAACAGACAAAAGAAAGTTAGAGGAACCAAAAAATCCAAAGTTGGATCTGGCAAAAAGGTAGCGACACTGACACTGATGATTTTAAATTATTATTATTTTTTCTCTCTTTTTATTCTCTCTAGTAACCAAGAAACTGAAATAAATGTTTTGAGAATATTAATAATTATTAATAATAAAAAGGAATTATTTTTGCTGATTATTTTGGGTGGGGCTGGTAATGGGCGTGCCCTACCCATAGAAATGATTTCCGCACTGCTAACGTCGGGTCATTCTTACTAGCAGCTTCTCTTGTCCTGTGGCTTTCGAAAGATAATGTCAGAAGATTCATCTCCTAGGAATAGACGTATGAACACTAATACTGACCCATCGCTTCAAGAACAGAAAGTTAGGGCTTATATTTGGGTGTGGCACTGATTGATTACTCTACCATATCAAAATGTCTACTTTACAGGAGAGAACCGAGCCTACAATGAGAGCCTCAACCATCAGTGGATCTGCTAATGCCTATATTAGCACCATGGACCCAAAGTACGGTCGCAAATACATACATTTACTCACTATACTTTCTTTGGTAATAAAAGCCAACTGAAAGTAGCAGTGTAATCAGTATATAGGGAGAAGACTGTTCCATAGCTTATTTTCTTGTTGTTATTACAGGTGGAAGAACTGGTGGATAAGAGGTGTTTTTGCAGGAATAATGATCGGGCTATTTATCGTGTTTATATACATGGGCCCTCTTGCTCTAACTCTACTGGTAAATGATGGTGCCATATTCTTTCCATTTACTTTGCAGTTAACACAATCCTGTTTTTTTTTTGTTTTCTTGTTGCTTGTTTATTTGTTTGTTTACTGTTTGTCTATTTGTAGAGTGCTGGTGTCTTCACGAAATGCTTCCAAGAGATTATTAAAATTGGTCATTCAAAATATCAGGAGTATAATTTGCCGCTATATCGAGTCTTGAACTGGTTTGTAATAAAAGCAGCTGCAATTATTTATATATTTTTAGGTTATTTTATTTCATATTCCTATACTATATAATTGGTTATAATCTAATACAGTATTATCCAGAATTCTTCTCAACAGTAAGTGGTTCTTTTAATTGGCATTACTAACCTACATCTCTCTCTCTCTGTTAGGGTTTTGCTGAAGTATTAGCAACTTATCATAAATTAACCTGCTTCTTTCTTTATGTTTTTGGTAAGAGAGAGGGAGGAGGAGAGAGGAAGGCACTACTGATTATATTTTAGGGTTTGTCATGTTTGTACTGACACTTCAAAAAGATTTCTACGGGGTTCAGTTCACCATGGTAACCATTAATCCTCCCACTTGCTTAATTACATCATTTTAGTTTGGTTGGACTCACATAACTCTCTTCTTTATGGGCAGTGACATGTTCATGGTAATGCAGAACATTTACGAAGGTCTTTTCTGGTTTTTAATACCAGTTACTCTGGTCATATGTAACGACATAATGGCATATGTTTTTGGCAAGTGAAAAATTTTTTACTATTCATATTACTACTCTCTCTCTCTCTCTCTTTCTTTAGGTTTTTTCTTTGGTCGTACTAAACTCATCAATCTCTCTCCCAAGAAGACTTGGGAAGGATTCCTTGGTGCTCTGTTTTCAACAATATTGTTTGGATTATTGGTGAGGATTACTGTATTTATTTTTTGAATTTACTTTTAATTTGTTGTTGTTTCTTTAGTTTGCATTCATTCTTGCCAAGTATGACTTAGCCTGTGTAAGTTATAGCAATAATAATAAAACTAATATTCATCATTATTATTCCTTACTACTAGTATGCCAGTCAAACTGCCTGCGAAAACTCCCCATTATTTAAATACAAAGAATACAATTTCTTGGTAATAATAGTAACAATCATCATTATTAAAGACGACTCCTTTCTCTAGGGCATGCAAATCCAGTTGTACCCAGTCATGATACACACCCTCATGCTGGCCATATTTGCTTCTCTCATTGCTCCTTTTGGTGGGTTCTTTGCTTCAGGATTCAAAAGGGCCTTTAAAATCAAAGTACTGCACAAATGATTAGTATCACTATTACTGTTGCTTATTGTTTGTAGGATTTTTCAGATGCTATCCCAGGCCATGGTGGACTAATGGACAGGATGGACTGTCAAATTTTAATGGTGGCTTTTGCTAATGTCTACTACTTCACCTTTTGCAGGTTACTTAAGAGTTATCATTAACTTTTAGAGAATGGAAAATTAAGAAATATCAATCAACCGTTTTTGTTTTTTTCTCTCTAGTACTCCAAATATTGAGCGTGTTTTGGGACTGATTGGCTCACTGAGCATTGAGCAGCAACACCAAGTGTTTGAAACACTACAGGAAAGACTGGGAACTGCTAAAACATAATAAAAAGAAACATATGCTTTATATCGTAATTATATCTTTTCCTTTCACGCGTGCATTATTATTATTAATATATTGTTATTATTGTTGTTGTTGTTATTAGGTTAAACATGTCTATACCCCAAATTTTTGTTCTCTCTCTCTCTCTCTTTCTTCTCCCTTTACAGATTTTGGGTATTTTTAATAAATATAATTATTATCACTAGCAATAGTGATACAAGATGGTGTGAACATAAATATGTGTGCGTGAGTCTTTATTCTTGAGTAGCAGCTGCTGTGTCTTCATCATCAATCTTTGGAGCCAAAAAGAACTTCATTGAACCAAAGTCACCAATGGGGTATGTGACACCTGGTGGTAGTGGTAATTGGTGAAAATTTTAAAAGCTTAGCCACTACTTTAACTTACATAGCGGAGATTCTGCTTTTAGTGAGAGGGTCACAGTGGGTGATAGAGGCGTGGCTTTGGTAAAATAATTCAAATATCTGAGTGCAAAGGTCAAGTGGACAGGATCGTTGAGCTCAATATTAATTTGATCCTCTTCTTTGTCAACAAGCGAACTTTGTCTTAGGTTAATCTTGCCACTGCCCATGTCGCCAGAAGCTGAGAATTGTATGCCATCCTAAAATGGAAGACATTAATCAACAGGAAGGAACAGTAAAAAGGGCAGAGTCTTGTCACAAATTTTGCTATACAGTTAACAAGCATAACTTAGAAGAATCTAGTATGTAACAGAAACTGATAAAGAGTATCATGCTATTGCTGCAAACCCAGGATTTCACACAAAGCATGCTAAATGACTTAAACAGGATGGGCTTCATTACTTTAGTGCAAGCTACAACAATCGAGTCTCCTAGTTGAGACATGTCCCGACAAATCCTTTGAAACTCGTGAGACGGCATCTTAACCACAGAATCATACTCTGTATCCTAAAGAAATTATAATTAAATATTAATTAATTAATTAATTACAGGTATTCCCAAGTGTTCGCTATCAATGTCCATCAATTTAATTTCAAATTGTGACGTTTTCTCGCCATCTAAAAAAAACAACAATGATAATAATAAACATAATAAAAATAGTAATAAATAATTACTCGGACTCTCAAAGACAAAGTTGATGTTGTCGGTTCCTTCTTGAGCTTTTATTGTAATGGAGTCATCATTATTAGCACACCTTACTACCACGGACAACCTAAAATGGGTGTGGCTAATTAACTACACAATATATACAGGAGAGGGTGTGGCTAATTAGGTAAAGAGGTGTGGCTAAACAAAATCAATATTATTGAGGATTACGCTTTAAGTCCTAGTCCTAGAGTGATGTTCCTGTCACAGCGATACGGCTCAAACCCGTCAGATCCTAGCTCAATGAGAACCAAGCAGACGTGACCAGAGTCCATTGCTTGTACACTAATACCTGGAGAGAGAGAGGACATGATAGTCACTTGTTATTAAATTAGTTACCAGTTGAAGAACAGTCCAGATTAATGTCAGTGACAATGTCCTTGATGGCATCAATCATCTTTTTTAGGACACTCCCCTGTATTAGCCTTGCTTCAAACATTTTCACTAAAGAAGTAAAGAAATAAACAAGACAGCAACAACTAAACAAACCTTATTTTTAAAATGGAGAGAGAGAGGGAGGAACAAACTTAGTCTTAGCTTAGAGGGGATGGAAATGATTGGAGGAAGGTTTCCCGCGCAACTAATGGGAGTGGCCGGGTCCTTACACTGCGCATGCGCTAAAAACCCTAAAATCCTGATCGTGACACAGCCCCAAAAAACTCCGTTACTTCAATCTAACTCCGTCTATTCTCGTATACTTCCGTGCATTTGTAAAATGGAGGAGATTGGCATATTCGATCATCAGCCACAGAATCAAGAAAAGGAGACCCCCTCTCGTCCCACGACCAGTTCCAATACTGCCACTGAACATGAAGAAGACTTGTATATAAAATTCAAAAAACTTCAAAGGCAAATTGACTTTTTACAGGTATTATTAATACTTAAAAATTATTGGTAATATATATATAAATAATACTAATAAGGTTCAAGAGGATTATATAAAAGATGAGTTAAAGAACTTAAGGCAAGAGTATCTTTATGCGCAAGAAGAAGTTAAACGTATTCAATCAGTACCTCTAGTCATTGGGCAGTTTTTAGAAGCAGTTGATCAAAACTATGCAATCGTAGGATCTACCACTGGTAAATAATTAATGTTAATATTAATATTATTATTATTATTATTTATAGGTCCTAATTATTATGTTCGTGTGTTAAGTACTCTTGATCACGAGTTGTTGAAACCCAATTCGTCTGTCGCTTTACACAAACACTCAAATGCACTTGTTGATGTATTACCACCAGAAGCAGACTCAAGCATTGCTATGTTAACGGCTGATGAGAAACCTGATGTCTGCTATTCAGGTAAGAGAGAGAGAGAGAGAATACATAGATACAGAGGTAGAACAGAGCATTTTAGCATCTTGTCAATGAATTTTGAAGTTGTTCCAAAATTTGACAAAAAACCCTGTAGGCCTGTACTATAGTAGAGTATTTTGTCAAAAATCACTGCAAATGAATTTTCCATTTTTATAATTTTTTTCTGATACATATACATGTTTGAGTTGAAACTCAAAGTTTATGCATATAAACTTTGAGTTGATTTATGTAAAAATTGGATTTTTTTAAAATTTATATTTTAACAGATATTGGTGGAATGGATATACAGAAGCAAGAGATAAGAGAAGCTGTTGAACTTCCCCTGACACATTTTGACTTGTACAAGCAGATTGGTATTGATCCACCGAGAGGCGTGTTGCTCTTTGGACCACCTGGATGTGGAAAAACCATGCTTGCTAAAGCTGTTGCTCACCACACGACTGGTAAAAATATAAATAATAGTACTAATAATAAATAATAATTTTTTTTCCTTCTCTCTTTATCTGCAGCTGCATTCATTCGCGTCGTGGGGTCCGAGTTTGTTCAGAAATATCTAGGAGAGGGTCCGAGGATGGTACGGGATGTGTTCAGACTGGCCAAGGAGAATGCTCCTGCCATTATATTCATAGACGAGATTGATGCCATAGCAACCAAACGGTTTGACGCTCAGACTGGAGCCGATCGTGAAGTCCAGCGTATCCTACTGGAACTCCTTAACCAGATGGACGGGTTTGACCAGACGGTAAATGTCAAAGTGATAATGGCCACCAACAGGGCGGACACTCTGGATCCAGCCCTCCTACGTCCTGGACGCTTGGATAGAAAAATAGAGTTTCCACTCCCGGACAGACGACAGAAGAGGCTCGTGTTTTCAACGATTACGAATAAAATGAATTTGTCGGAAGAGGTCGATCTTGAGGATTATGTTGCTAGGCCGGATAAGATAAGTGGAGCCGATATAAATGCCATTTGTCAGGAGGCCGGCATGCAGGCAGTGAGGGAAAACAGGTACATCATCCTACCGAAGGATTTTGAAAAGGCGTACAAGAAAACCATCAAAAAAGATGACCAAGAGCATGACTTTTACAAATGAACCATGTACCATGTACTGATCATTATTATTAACATTATAGTTATTCATAAGTTATTAATAGTTAGAGGGGAGGAGAACTGGGTGTGGCTTGTTACAATAGACCTTGTCTTCTTAGATCATCGTACATCTTACGACTGACTACATTGCCTTTAGAATCCTCAAATTCTTCCTGAATAAAAAATATTAATAAATTAAATCAACTATTGGATATTTCATTTACTTCTGTTGTAGACTTCCATTGCTCGATGGCTTTAAGACCTTTGAGTTTATCCCACACTAAATAATAATAATAAAACAACAATAATACGATTATCATATATACTTACATGCTCTAGCATCAGCGATATTAGTTACATTAGCAAAATGAGCTGTGTTTGGTATCCCAAGGCACCTCATTCCAAAAGCATGTCTCCATTCCTATCAAAATTTATGAGGATCACCCATAAAAATTTTCGACAACTACCCATCAAAATTGTAACTCACAGAGAAGTGCCTTTGAAATGATTTGGGTCCCTTGTATTGTGCTCCTCCACATATTTCACATTCGTAGGTTATGTTGAGTCCGTGTAGCTTATAGAGCCAGTAGGGGATCGGCTTACCATCAAAACCCAGTGGAAGGTTCTTTGGGTTGTACGGGACACCGTTTTCATCTTCTTCCTCACTCTCTACCTCCTCCTCTTCCTCCTCCTCCTCTTCCTCTTCTAGTTCTTCTGCTGTTCTTGCTAACCTTCTCTCTACATTCTCTTTCGTTGATCCTCTTTGCTCCTAATTAATTTATTAACCAATTAATAATAATAATACTAATCTTAAAACATTTTTATGCATTGGGGCTAGTAATTTTTTAAGTTATACTTCAATTTAGTGGTCACTTGTTAAATTTGCAAAAATTTTGTTTTGTATAATATTTACATATAATGAAAACTTACACTAAGCATCTCAACATAGCTGTACACCTGTGCTTCTATGAATGCTATTTCCTTTTGTTTCTCTGTGAGCTCTCCAGTTTGACTTTTCTTCGATTTAGCGAACAGAGACGGATCAATCTCAGTGTAACTTAATCCTTTAACACTAAACAATCTTTTAGCTCTCTCCTCTAGTGTACTGCAAAAAATAAGAATAATCACCATGCGCTCTCCTTCCTCTCTCTTACCCGCCACATTTGAGCCCTTGGGCCATTAGTGCTGACTTGAGACGATCCAGACCCAGTGACATTAGCTCCTAGTATAGTAATGCCCAACAGTCATATGATGGTCACATGATTCGTGTACCTCGTGCGAGTTGAATGCAGTCAGATCAAGAGATGCTCCTGAATGTTTAGCTAAAGCACTAGTGCCTGAATCTTTCTGTCATAATAAATAAATAAATAAATAAGTAATAATAATAATAATAATAATAATAATAATAATAATAACATGTGCTTACTTTCCAGCCAGGAAATGTCCCTTGGCTCCACTTCTCTTCAAAGTCTTTCTTGATTTTGATTAATAATTCAGTTTGATCAACTAATGGTTGTACACGCTCAATATAGCCAAGCAAATAATCAACAAGAGATTCTAAATATCTAATAAACAATAACAATAAACAATAACAATTGTATATAATAATAATAATGAGATCAATGAGGCAGTGTGACTTGGCAGTGTCACTATCATTATTTATTACTTACTTTTTATATTCGCTTCCTTTGTCCTCTTTATTTATATCATAAAGTTGATCAAACGTTTGCAAATATGACAAATAATCTTTTCTCTTAAAATACAAACAAATAAATTAATAAGTAGAACAACAAGAACAATACCTCCATCCTTTTGATGTTTAAATATTGACTATAAACTGAGTGCAAGTCTAAAAACTTGCCATATCCTTCTTCATCAGTGAATTCAACAAGATCTATTGGAAAGAGAGGAGGAGGAAAGCGCTATGATACCACTAGCATTTTACTTTGCATTTCTTCCGGAGGGTTTTGTCTGTCTTTGTCCATTTTATTAAATTCAACCATTATAGGATCGTCTTGAAAATCATCACCTTGCCTACGGGCAATTAATTAATTAAAAATAATACTTTTAAAGCCTAACTAACTCAGAGTAATATTCATTAACTCGTTTAAGTCGACGATAGAATTCTCTAAACTGGTCGACTCCACTCATGGCGTCAATCTCCTCCTGTCTTGAGCTGGGCATTAATTAGAAGATTATTTGGTGGTGCATTAATTGGAATACAACCTACCCGTCTTGATCGGTGTACATACTCATCAGCTGAGAGGATGTCTCAACTGTTCTATCAATTAAATATCTCATACGATGTTCGCTGTTTATCTTCTCGCGGACCTACAGTAGAGTGCGCATTAATTAGAGTACAAGACATGTCGGCTCACTGTGGTCTTTTTGAGCATCTTTTCTTTGACTAAAGCATCTTCTAGTCTCTCCCTCTCTTCGTGTAGCTTCCTCTGATCCTCTAAAATACTCTCCATTCCTCCTCAGAGTGGACACGATGGCTTCAAATTATTATTATTTTCAATATTTTTCAATTTTTTGTTAATAATTAAATAGGCGGAACAGCTGCCCACGTGCCTTCGCGTGGACATCGTTCAGCCATATATTATAGACTACGTAACCTATATTATAGGTTAAGTAGTCTATAATATCTATGATAATATCTATGGTTCAGCAGATCACTGCAGCTGATCAGATCAGAGAGTCGGGTAATGACGTCACTTCCTGCGAAAGAGCTAGAGCTAGGCGGCGCGGCGCGGCCGGCTACGTCTGGCATGAGTGGCATCAAGAGTAGATAATAATAGAAGATAATAATATTATCTACTCTTGCTGGCATGCATATATACCGTGTTTGTAAATGCGATGTGTTTGTATATCTATGGTGCATGTCACCATCCGGTCTTGCCCTGTTTCCTGTCCAAGTTATCCTACCGTAGATCTATGATACTACTTATTTCTGTTCTGACGCGCACCAAAAGTAACAGTAACGATGGCTTCCGTGGACAGTGTCGCAGATTCTCCTGTTTTAGACGGCGATGTTGTGCTTTTTAACTGCTTGGATGCTTCAAGTTTTTTGTATAGCAAGCCTCTAAGGTATATATGAATGCATATTATCGATCAGTATTACTGTCTATCAATCTAGTTCAAATCATTCTGATCAATTGACTATTGAATCATCAAATAAAAAGTTTTTTATGTTTGAACGTAAGATTGAAATTGCATACACTCATGCATGCATGCATGCATTCACATAATCATATGCATGCATTCACTTTTTTTTTACATAATCATATGCATGCATTCACATAATCATATGCATGCATTCACATTTTTTTTACATAATCATATGCATGCATTCACATAATCATATGCATGCATTCACATTTTTTTTACATAATCATATGCATGCATTCACATAATCATATGCATGCATTCACATTTTTTTACATAATCATATGCATGCATTCACATAATCATATACATACATTCACATTTTTTGACATAATCATATGCATGCATTCACATTTTTTTTAACATAATCATATGCATGCATTCACATTTTTTGACATAATCATATGCATGCATTCACATTTTTTTTGACATAATCATATGCATGCATTCATGCAGTCTCTGGTGACAACACATGAAATTTTTTGATATACATGGCTAGAAATTTCCCACACCTAAGTAAAACCTTTTTGTTCAAAGAGCTCATGAATATTTGCACTATGAATTTTGGTGCTTTACCTTTAGTAGCAATCACCCTATATTTTTCACTGCCCACTTGAGTCAGTCAGCACTGATGTTTGCACCTATTATAAAATATATTGTCTTACTCGTATTAGTTGCTGCATTTTGTATTACTCGAGGCAAGCAAACAAGTTTTCAAAAAGCTAAAAGGTAAAATGATATAGTCTATTATTTAATATATACATCTTTTATCTTTTATACTAAAGTAAGGAAAGTGAAGATTCATCTCAATTAATGGAAATTGTTTATGGTAGTACTGTTAAAGTTAGTGACTAAAATTTATTCTTCTATTAATGTACATCAAATAGTTACAACACCAAATATCTGGCAAGTATTTGACTGTTAGATCTAATAATGAGGTATAAGAATGTATAATAAGCCTATAAATACTGGTATTGTAGCAGCAAACACTTCACCTGGAGCAAGAGGATAAAAGTGGACCTGATAAGGAAAATTTGTTCAAAATAGTACCTTCACATCAAAAAAAAGAATTGGGTAATTCGGTAGGTTTTAATTGAATTTTAAAAAATTATTTCAATTTTAAAAATTACAGCTCCTGGTTCAAGATAACGTAAAGTTAGAAAGTATTTCTTGCAGTGGAAAGAAAATCAAATTTCAATACAATCCAAAAGAAAATGGGTATTGTTTTGAATTAGTCATACAAATTAGTGTAGATCTACTTCCTGTATAGTTATTGTCCGAGCTTGGAACCAGATGGTACTATGTTTTCTATTACAATTTATTGTCATAAACATGCATTATTAAGCCCCAACTGTATAAAGGTTACATATACCATCATATATAAATATTGCAATTGTATGATAATCAATAGAGTGGGAGTATAGTGATGTTAGCTAGTGTAAATTTTGATGGATATATTTCTGCAAGAGGGTCATTTGTCTCAGGTCCAATAATTAAGGAGCAGAGTCAACCTAAAGGTAAAGTAATTTTGATCAATGGCTGTCTATAAAATGATATAATGCCTCTAGTTTGTTTATGTAAGTGGGAAAAAAGATACTTTAATATTGAACCATATTCTGGTGAAACATTCTTTCAGCTTGAAAATATAGACTTGGAAACAAACAAAGGTCATAGCAACATGTTTTATGTTGAATATATATGATAATGCATACTATATTTTAGGAACCTATCTTTTATTTGGCAATAAATACAGAATCAAGCACATTGTGACACAGCAGTACATCACTGTTACAGAAAATGAAGAAGTTTGGTTTTTAACTTTAAAATTATAACTCAAACTATTGTATAGGTGGAACTTAGTTCTAAGCCTAAAAATGACTGGAACCAGTTTGAGCTGCATCCATCATTAGAAGGTGACAACCAAGAAATAATAGAATCAGGTGCTCATGTTACATTTAGACATGTTGCTACAAAAAAATGTCTGTCTTTTAATGGTTAGTATTAAATATATGCTCCAGAAATTTTATTTTTCATTTAGTGACATTAAATGAAAATGGTCTTGTTCGATGGTCTGATGTAAGTTAAAATCAGCATTTAAATCTGTATTATTTATTAGTAATTCTAAAGCTTGTTCTTGAAAATGGGAAAGCTAATTTTGAAGTGTTGCAGGTTTCATTTATTATAATATAAATTGAGTAGTCATAAAGCATGTAAAATTATAGGTTGACAAATTTTTTGTGCAAGATGTCTATCAGGTTGTTAGCATGAGCTTAGTTATGTTGGAAATTCATACTAAGTTTAATGAGGTTGGTAGTTTTGTCATCCACATAATGGTACATGTTTGTATAATTTTTTTAGGAAATATTGATCAATACTTTAAAAGATTTAAAAACATCCTTTACTTTAAATAAAAATTTATCCAAGACTTCAGTTGATCATAAGACAAGGCTAGCAAGCATGTTAAGATCATTTGGGGTATGGTAGATTATTGATTGAATAATCTAAATAAAATCATAACAGATGATTGATGCCATGGTTACTCTTATCAAAAAACATCATAAAGATTCGTAAGTGGTTTTATTACAAATAATATTCTAACAACTTCTATCATAGATGCAATAAAGTTTGCGAATTAATCTGTTCATCACTACAAATGTATGTTGAGAATGGAAGTTTTAGGGCCATAACTTATCTTGTTGAAAAAGATGACCTTCTGAAAATTCTGGTATCAGCAAGTTGACATGCATTCATATGATTTAATTTTTATTAGGTGAATAAATGTTCTAATTCTGTCAAAGTTCTCATTACTCTGTTTAACAAGTACCGGTATGTTTACAAGTTATTATTGTAAAAACTATTTGAATGAATAATAGAGGTCATATTAATCAGAGAAGGTATTTTCCATTGTTTGATAAATTAAATGAAAAGGTATGGTTAATAAATAATAATTTTATAAAGCATATTAAATTAAATGCAAAAACACTAGTATCTTGCTGATCCTGCAATAGTTGAATTAATGTGCATTTTGACATTTAATGGAAAATGGATCAAATGGGAGATATATGGTTTGTAATGCAACATTAATTATAATAATTCAATAAAGAATAATTTATAGAAAAGATCAAGGAAAATTTAATTGGCATGGTACTCCTGGATGTAATTTAATTCCACTAAGTATTGCTATTGTTGTACAGGTATCAACAGATGAAGTTAAAGGTCTTATTGAGAATTTAAGAGAATATGAAGCAAACATTTCAACAGATAGATTATGCAGTACATTTGTACAGGTCAATCAAGGCCGTAAGCCTATACAAAATTGATTTAATCATTTTTGGCTTGAAATATACCTAGATTCAGGTTTTGAGAATGAAGCACAAAATGATACAAACCATGCCGTACAAGCTATAGAAATAGAATTTAAAGTTTGTAGATCTATTACAATTTGTTTTAATTTTATTACACTATTGTAGGAAAAACCTTTGATTCATGTGCTGCTTATGAATATTCTAGTTTTTCTTATTGATTACAGAGTTTTCAGTAAAGAAGTGAATATCATGCAATTTTTAACTGGTAAACTAGTGCATATGTGATGTAAAAAGCATCATTATTAACTCATAAAGCCAATGAAACCAGCAAAGTGAATGAAGCCAACATACAAACTAGTGATTTTCAATCAAGTGTCACCATAATAAAGAAGAAATTGTATGTAAAAATCATTCATATAATTAATATAAATTATTCAATTAAAAGGGCATTGCTATCTCTGAAGTTGCTTTTAAAAAGGAGTTTTAACTCATCAATCAAAGTATTAATATAATCATTTTATATTATTAATAAAATAATGACTTGTCTATTATATGTATTATGAAGTCATTATAATAGTTCATTCTATTCTAAAGTACTATTAGATTATTAATTATAATCATATCTTTAAAATAGGCTTTGATAGAAGACTTCAAAAAGTTTGGTATTGGGGAACATAAGAGTTCTACTCATTATAGTGATAATAGTGTATTGATAAGCATGGAAGAAGAAGGTAAAATTTTACACACTAAACATAAACATAATGTAGTGCATTATTTAGCTATGTAAATTCGTGTGGTAAAATGTGTCACAACTAAGGGGCATAAGTGCAGGCTACTCTAATATAATGAGTGCATTTGCTATTATCTATAAAATTTTATTGACAAATTGACTCAGTTAGTGGGTGCATTTTCTTGTTCAACTATGGGTGGCATGCCAATGCATCAATATGCACACCCCTAACAATGCCCCTGTATGTGATCTGCCCCCTTGGCCACACTACTAAATGGTAGTGAGAACTCTAAAGTCTTAGTGAAAAGAAAGAAATACTAACTGTGCATGCATGCATGCATGCAGTGAAGGAATACTGATACTTTGAAATGCATGGTTGACATGGTTGACTTAGATCTATTATCATTTAGAGTTTTTCAGATGCATGAACTTATCATAATGCTAGCTTACTCATTCTTCTATTAGGTGATTTTATGAGATGTTTGCTACAAGAAAATAATATGGAAGAAATAGCAAAAAACTCCAAGTATGTTGCAAATATAATTCACTCCTAGTATCTTTCCTGCCATGATGTTAGGCAAATAAAAGCAAGATTACGAGAATATTTCACTTCTAATCAAACTTGTCAAAGTTTCAATGTCAAAGCAAATAAAGAATTATGTGACATTTTAACTGGTTTCATGACAGATGATGATGCTGATATTCGATTGATGAGTACTGAGCTTCTTTACAATATATTCAGAGTTGAAGAAATTATTTTATCTGAGGCTGAAGAAAAAATTTACTTTACCTGCTCAACTGATGAAGCTTATGAAGAAATGAAGCAATTGGCTACAATGTCTGACAAAAAGCAGCTCCTTTGTAGAATGCTAAGGAGAGAAATTACTGGAGAGGATGTGCAGCAAAAATATGGAGCACTGTTTCCATCTATAATAGCTGCACTTGAAAGAATGACTATGGCATTTGCCCCAGTTAAAGGTATCAAGCCAAATTCCATCAGTCAACATGTAGCATATAGTTGTGGTGAGTTAAGCTTAAATACATCAATATAATTACATGTACATATTACACACAGGTCTCTTTGATGTTATATTGGAATGTGTACTTGAGTACAAAGATTGCAGTGATCTTGAAAATTCTGAAAATGATATTCTTGAACGTTGTTTCACTCTTCTGCAAAAAATGTCCAGAAATTATAGCAAAGTCAGCAATAAAACCACAGATATAAATTCAATGTATTATATTTAGGCTCAAAATAAACTGTTCATTAATTTCTATGATTTTCTTCAAATGATCAATAAACAAAGATTAATTAGCTCCATAATTTGCTTACTAAATGAAGTAAAATTTATGAGAATTGTTAAGACATGATGCATTTAACTTGATATATAATCTAGATGTTTTTTAACAATTCAACTCTTTGCAATAAGTTAAGCAATGAAGATATCAGCAATATTTTTAGAACTGCAATCACTAATTCCGAACACCATCAATTGATCATCACTTTGATCATAATAATTGAAGTATCTATATAATTCATAGTATTTTGTCTTATGCTTACCTGCTAGGGCACAATTCCATCCCTTCCATTACAAGAATATGTAGCAACACTTGTAGAGCATCATTCAAATGATATTTTAAAATCTATTTTAGGTCAAGAAAAGGAGACAGAAGTAATAGATATTTTAAAATCGACAAAGTCTGATGTATGTGATCATATTTTTCAGTTACTCACATAAAATATAATATTATAGACAGTTCAAAATGGCCAACTCCAGCTTCTTCTTAATCTAACCCATCTTTTAGCATCATGCTATGCTAAAAAATGTCAAGTTGCAATAGAGTCAGCTGAATTCTATAGTTTAGAGGAGCTCATTATGTTAGCTATTTCATTTTTCAAAATCATAATTATTGCTCTCTGCTATATAGGATTATAACTGATGATGCAATAGATGATTATAAGAAACTACCTTTTATTCGTGTTTTGACTTGGCAACATTTGGTTACAGAAAAAAATACTTCACCAGTTTGCTCTAAATTGGCTAATAGCGAAAGGTAAATATTTGTAATTAACAAAATATTACAATCAATGGCATCTTTAATTTTTATAGTTACAGCTTTTGGAAGGTTTTGAAAAAATTTATTTGTGCTATTAAAAACCTAAAAGAAACTATTGTTTCTAGTGATGAAATGGAAAAAAGTCAACTAATTGGTTTTAAAAAATCTGACCTCTCAATTTGTGTCTTGACAATTGTCAGAAGAGATCAATCTGTCAGTAAAGATAAAGATTTTCAGTTGCTATACATTGTTGAGGGTGTAATTCCTTTACTATCAGCATTCTGTCAAGAATTATTCCTTCATTTATATGCTGAGACTAAGTTTTTTGGCATACCAGAAAATACAGACATTTGTGGCATTGTTGAACCTCTTTATGATGAATTAAAGGTAAATTATATTTCCCATGTTTGTATACTAAGTGATAGGATTTTATTTAAAGGGTTTTAGAGGGTTAAAAGTCCATTCTGTGTTGGAGCAAATGCATGAAACAGGTTGCATAGAAAATGTGAAAAAACTTTGTAACCATTGTTTCAAAGATTCAATAGAGGTAACAAAATGTGGTATAATGCTTACTGTAAGCTAACTTAATTCTAGGCACCGTTGTCTACTGATGAAATAGACGCAGGGATTCCAAATGATGAATGTTTTAATGCAGAAGAAGAAAATCTCAATAAAAAATTCCAAAAATTTGTTACTAATTACAGCTATGCATATAATGGTCAGTTTGCTAAAAAAGTAAAGGCATATACTCAGTTTTAATTTGTAATAGAAAGTCGACCCAATATGGAAAGTAATTTTGAAGAGTTACTTAAAATTTTTACAGATCAAGAATATACTAGGTATATAAATCTTTCACATCAAATTATAATTATTTTCTTCATGTAGAAAATTGGATGAATTAAGAGTTAATAAGCTTGTCATAGTGCTTCGGTATTCCTATCCTTTAAATAGCATTTGAAATCAATTTATTTATAGAACTCTAATAGAAAAACAGAAAGAATTGGGCCTTCACTGTATTGAAAGAACTAACTTGGAGAGAATGACATCAACTACACTGAAGTTAATACATGCACTAGTTTTCAAAAAGGTCAGAGAAATAGATGACAAAAGAAACAGTTTGAAGCCTATTGAATTTCAAAGGTATAGATCTTATACAATATACTATAGACAAGAACATTCCATTGATAGGCAGTGTAAGAAATTTGTACGACCTCTGCAGGCAATATTACTTGATAAAGAAATTGATCTGGTTCCAACTGTGAGATGAATATAATTTGTAATATAAATAAATAAATTAATTAATGATCTGTAATTTAGTTGTTTGAACTGCTACGTCATCCAAATGATGACATCACTGATCAAATTTTAGCATGCCTTGATGTCTTGCTGTATCCTGGTAATGAAGAAGCTCAAAGGAAAGTAATGTCACTTGGAGTTCAAAGTCTTTTTATCTGTTTACAAAAAAAACTTAAAGGAGCCCAAGATAATCTTGATAAGGCAAAGTAAACTAATATTAAGGTAACTGTAAATATTTTTGGTTTGTCATGCAGAACAGGAGAATCTGAGTCTAGAAATATTACAGTGGTATTAGATGTTTTAGTAAGGCTATGTGATGGACAACAAAAAGATATACAAAATGCATTGAGCGGGACACTAACATTGCATGTAAGTGTAATGATTTTTTAACTGAATGCATTACATTGTATATTCAATAGGGTTCTAATATTGTTAGTCAAGTTTCATTTCTACTTCTTGGTATCCTTGAAGGCCATGCTGCAGAGATTCTCAAAGAAGCAGACATTATTATCATAGCACAAAAAGCAACAAAGGCACTAATAGAGATGTGTACTGGAAATCACAACAATCAACGAATTGCCTTTAAATGTCAAGTTATCATTTCAGTCAATTTGGTATTGGATTTGGATATAGGTTCTACTACATCTCATGAGGTATACAATGCTTTATATTTTATTGATTTCTTTTGTGTTCAGGCCAAAAGATTTTTAGAGTTAAAATCATCAAGTCTAGAGTTGTTAGAAATAATGCTTGAGGAAATTGATGAAGAATCATCAAAATTAGCAAGCTGGATACTGCAGCAATTAGATGTATCAGGTTTACTAAAAGGAATGCTACAATTATGGAAAATTTTTAAAGCATCACCACCAAAGAACCACTCGCAAAACAGTTTATTTAGAGCTTATCATGCTCTCAGAAGAATTTCAGATCACCAAGGAATAAGTATTGATGAGCTAGGTACTGCTTTTTATATTACCAGCTAATATACTATATTTTTATAATAGTGATACATGCAAATCAAGGGTTGGCAAATACATTTGATCATGTATTTAAAGATGACATGGTTGAAGCTAAAAAAATGTGGGAAGACTGTAGAAAATGGTCTAGGAGTGTTGAAGTTGTTTTCAAACCAGGAAGTGACAGAGAAATACTAACCCAAGCCTATTTTCCTTGTAGTCCTAATGTTAGTTCATATCCATTACAATTTTTTAATCATTATTTTCATATTGCATACAGACACATTTAAGTCAGCAAGAAAAAGATACTATTATATTGTATATTAAGAGAAACACACCACAAGAAAAGTTGTCTGATCTTCTTAAATGGACTAAAGAAATCAAATCAAACGAAGAACAAAAAGTATCATTAATTTAAAATACTTATTGTTTTATATTTACAGGAAATGCTATCAAAATCCTGGAAAACGTCTTTCATTCTTTGGTTTTAGTGAGTTCATATTTTTTAATTCTCATCATGCACTTATTTCTTTTAGCCCAACTGTGCATTTCATCTTGTTTTGGCTAACAATATTTCTAAACCTCATAGTTCTTTTTGGCATAAGATCTCCATCAGCAGCTGTTACTAAGTAAGATCTTTCATTATCTGTAGCTATTATGATTATGCATTATAGTAATAATAACGAAGCTTGCAGTGTTGTTTTTAATGGCACATGTAACAGTAGTAGTCCAATGCATTTCCAACCAATCTTATCCCCTGATGTACCATCATGGTATATGCCAGTCCACTATACATTTGGTTCATTACATCTCATATTGGCACTATGGATGGTCATTTATTACTTTGTCACAAATTGTAAAAATATGCGACGTTCTGTTTACTGTATTCAAAAATACTTGTAAGTCAACAAATTAAAAGCTATTATTTTAACAAATTATACCAATGTATTGTAGATTTAAAATCAGTAAAGGAGTGATACGCAGAAAGCGTTTGCATCAGTTCCTATGTAAACTGAATTTAAAGATTTCAGCTGATAAGCCAAAACCAAAGGAGTATTTTCAGATATTTTTCTTTAGCTTTGAGCCACTTTACCGCATCCTATTTCTGATTTTTTCAGGCCTTGGTTTGGCAACAACTGGATATTTTTACTGTGGCTGCATGTTATATCTATTCCTACGAAATCATGTCATGTTTTTTATCATCAGAGCTCTCAAGAAAAGCGGTATTGCAATATTTTCATTAATTTTAATATTTATATTTTTAACATACAGCCTTTCAATTACTAACAGTCCTTCTATTGTGCTTCATTTGCACATACATTTATGCTGTTGTCAGTTTTGCTTTTCTTCAAAACTACTTCTCTGAAGGAAATGACCAATTCTGCAATACTCTGTTTGAGTGTTTTATCACTGCAACTCGCTTAGGACTGCTGAATACACTTGGATTGGTATTTATTTTATACTGTAGTTTTGTCCTATTATTCAATAATAATTGCAGGAATTAGGCATACGCCCATCAGATGAATATGAGCCAAATTTTAGGCTTCTCATCGTACGAACTGTGTACGACTTAATCTTTTTTGTTGTGGTCACAACACTGGGATTAAATATTGTTGTTGCAATACTAGTTGACAGGTTTTCAGAAATGCGAGAAGAAAGGGTGCGTAGACTATAATTATGAAGATATTTATAACTGAATCCAATATTAGGATAAAGTTACAGATGATAACAAGAATAGATGCCTTGTTTGTAGCATTATGAAAGATGACTTTGAACGAAAAGGCCAGGTGAGTTTTAGATGTTTTTAGTGCATTTAATTACTTATAATATTAGAGTTTTGATAAGCATATCAATGAAGATCATAATGTCTGGAATTACATCCATTTTATTTTGTACATTAATAATCTTCATGAGAATGATTACAATGCAGTTGAAAAATATGTCTCATGTCAGGTAGAGTCTATTTCAAATTGATCAAAATTTTATGAAATTTTATAGGTAGAAAATGGATCTATTGATTTCTTTCCAATCTTTAAATCTAAGTCTCTACCTGAATACAAGAATGAAGAATAATTGTTCTGATCGTATTTTCTTATATAACTGTAGTGATAGCTAACTTTAGTCATTAGATCTATTACTTTGATTGGGCTGGTCCCATCATTAGGTAGTCTATAGTGTAACTGCCAGTTTTGATATTTCTTTACTGTTAGAAAAATCTATAATGCTAGCTATATAGCTCTACATAAGATAAAAATTGACCTCAGTAGAATTTTAGTCTCTCATCATTACCTCAATGTTTACATTGACCTACTTAATAATGGTTATACATACATAAAGACAAACAAATTACAAATGCACTTCCTACTTCAATAAAATTCAATTTTAAAATACATTTTCTGACACATTTTAAGCATGAAAACTATTAGTCTTTTCTCAGCTCCCATATCTAACAATAATAATAATAATAATAGAATCAATTATTAATAATAAAACACATACTTGTATGTAGGCTTCAGCCAGTGTTATCATTTGAGGCAGTAAATCCTTAACATTCAAATCCTGGAGCTCATACCATTGATTGGCACCCTACAACAACCAATCAGATTACTCGAGTCACATGCTAGCATACTTTATGTCTGAGATGCACACGGTATGTTCCTTTTCCAGGCCCAGCCTGTCCATCATGACACACGTTAGCCACAAGGTCATAGACTGTGTGTGGGTGGGAATCCTGTACTGCTGGATCGCTAGAGAGAAACTCTGACATGTCTATATCTCTGTAGTTTATTGTTAATAATTTCATTCATTCACTTATTGATTACTTAATTGGAAAGTTAACTATGGTAGGATTTTTTTCAACGAAGAAATTGTTTTTAGTAAACCTCTGCAAAGGAAGAGGAGGAAGAATGAAATATGACATCTGTTGTAACCTACTTTTATACACAGTATTAAATATGGTGGAAGTTTAGTCAGCTCAAACTTCTTCACGTAAGACTCACGGTGAGTTTTATATTCCTAGAATCACGTGACAGTCACATGACAATGTTAACAGTGTCTTAACCTTTTCTGTCGTCCCATCAAATTTTTTTAACAAATCAAATAATGGAATCTGTGGGATGATGTTCTTTTCAAGTTCATCCTATGAAAGAGAGACAGGGAAGGGAGAAAAGGAAGTAGTAAGCGAGTTAAAATGATACCAGATACTTGAAATAATGGAGGGGCAGGCAAGTCAAGTGCTAGATATAAAAATGGAGTCGTTTCTTCTTTCTCTATTGACAATAGATAAATAAAACAGACCATAACTGCTCATCATACGTTTGTATTCTTCCATTTTCAAATAGTCCATCATTTCATCTTCATTCTATGAAACTATAATAACTAATAAATTAATCAAAATTAATACTTCGGTTTGTGGCGGTAATTTCCTTGTGTAAATCTTCATTTCTCCTTGAAAAGTATCATATACAATGCTGCTCTTATTCTTCCTTTTACCGGCAGACAAAGCAAAATGTAACGTATTTAATAACCAGGACATGAACTCAACTGGATCACCTATTATAGATGAAGAGAGAGAGGGGGGGAAAGAGAGTAGGAGGAAAGAGAGGGAAGAAGAGGTATAAGTAAAGACATAGGGAAATGATTATTACCTTGCTCAACAATTTTAAATCTTTTCTTGCTCACAGAAGACACTGCCTGAAGCATCTCATGTGGACTGACGTGAGCGCGAAATAAAAAATACCTGGGATTCCATAGCTTACGAAATAATTCACCTAACCGATGAACTACACAGAAATAAATTGCTGTTATCATATAGATATACATGTACTTACCTAGTGTAAATGTCTGATCTCCAGGCGGAGGAGTTATGCTTAAATAATTGTCCTCGTTTAAGAAATAATCTCTGAAAGGAGTTATATGAGCCAAAGTATGCAGTATCACATTCATGTAGTCATTGGCTTTTATATTGTTAAGACCAAGTATACCTACAAATTTTTAAAATTACTCAGAAACTGGGCCAAAGTCCCCGTGCTATAGTACAGGGCATTTTACTAAAATTCTGATTACTAAATGTACCTGGTAGATATTTAGTCTCGTCTAGAGCTTTCATCCATTTTGCTGATTTATCCAGTGACTCAATTTCTTGTGAAGTAAATGTTGGACGACAAATATGCTAGAAAGAAAGTTCTTACTTAACAAATTAATAAAAAGTTATCTACTTTAATGTCTTCGAGTGAAGGATCTATGATTTCATAATTGTCCGGGAGACAGTAAAATTGCAACGTCTTTAAGTTAAGAAACACGTAATGGTAATGTTGAACGCTGTGAATATATGCATGGGAGTGTTGACCACGCCCTATGGCTAATTAAATAATTATAACTATTATAATAGTTACCTTGAAAATACTTTCCACATACAAGGCAAGCGTAAACGTTATTATTGGATAGCGAGACGGTGCATAATTTTTCAAAATCAAAATCTAAAATCGAGCGATTAATTGTGTCCAAATATGGGCAGTTTCTACTGAGAGGGTGCTCTATAATTAGAATAATAATTATTATGACGTCATTTGATGTAAACCTTTCATTTGATCTGTTCTTAATCTTTTACGAGGAACCAAAAATTCATCTTCGTCTTCATCACCATTTTCTTCCTTCTCCTCCTCCTCCTCCTCTTTTTCTCTTTTAATTTTTCTCTCGATTTCTTCTTTAATTTCAACCGCCATGACACTTTTGAATAGTCAGTTCATAAAGGGTTAAAATAAAAGTTATAAACTAGTTATTGGCGGTATCAGCTTTGATCATCACCTGCAGACTGCAGAGAAGAAAGGAGTAAGGACTGATGGGTGAGCATAGCTAATCTCTTTTGTCTTTGTATTTCTCTCTTTGTTTCAGCTTTAAGAGAACAGGACCAGGTAGACCAGTTTTATCAGCTGCAGGCAAATAATGCAATCCATGGTGCTGCTGAAACTAATTTTCATGCTGCCACTGGCATTCATGAGGAAACAGGTAAACAAGCAAGCAAACGTCCAAAGGTACTGCCTTTAATTATATTGAGGCACCAATGCAAGATACTATGATAGGTTAATGATGATGTTACAGAGCCATTTGATGAGGTCGGAGCCAGTGATATGAGTCGATATACAAGCAATGATGTACTACTTGAAAATGCACAAGACATGGAAACCACAATGTCTAGTAAGTTATTACAAGAGAACAACAATGTGTATGCATTACTGGCAAATTGTGAATAGATGCTAAAATGCTGTATGAAGAACTTTCTGCAAGATGGATGGATGACTTATGGTATATAGATGCTATTGAGTGTATTTACTTGCTGCAATGTTTTTTGTAGCTCTGCAGAGAAATTTGAAATGTTTTGTACTCCAAGACTAGATGAGATACTCAAGGAGGCTTACCTGATTGAGAGCAGTATTATTGAAAAGAAGCAAAAGCTGAAACAAGAATTGCAAATGATTACAAGGAAAATAATGGCTTCCATCTAGATGCAGACTAGGACATTCTGCAAGAACAAGAAATTATAATAATTACATGTACTGTCTTGTACATAATAAATGTAAGGAAAAGTTTGGTTTAGCATACAGCAATTTGAGCCACCCACGCATTTTAGTTGGTAGAGGGTGTGGATTGTATTAGGCGAAAATAGGCGTTAGCCATTTTGATTACAAAATGGAAGCTGTCCCTGCTGTAAATGATGATGTAGAGGTCGTTGAACCTGTTGAAGGATACCCAACCACAGAAGACGCTTTTGACAGTGGCTGGCTCAAAGTCTCCGACCTTCACGAGATTTATTACGAGCAGAGTGGGAAAGAGGATGGAAACCCAGTCATATATGTGTAAGGAGGAACTCTGAATTCTCCTAAACTATTGCCCTTTTGTAGTCATGGTGGCCCTGGGTCTGGCTGTAGCTCTGCATGTCGTCGTTATTTTGATCCCAGTGTGTACCGAGTGATCCTACTGGATCAAAGAGGGGCTGGGAAATCCTTGCCACATGCTGAACTGAAAGTAATAACAACACCAGAAAAGAATTAAACACTCTCTTCCTCCTCTTTCTTTTGTGTTTTGTACTTCCAGGAAAACACAACTTGGGATCTTGTTGAAGACTTGGAGAAGCTACGTCAGCACCTTGGGATTGATAAATGGATAGTGTTTGGTGGCAGCTGGGGGTCAACCCTTTCATTAGTGTATGCTATTAAACACACTGAGCGTGTCAAGGCTCTCATATTAAGAGGAATATTCACAGGAAGAAGGTACATGTATGCATATTCTGTGCAATATGCTGCATTTAAGGTGTGAACAATTTTTAGAACTATAGTACTCAGAAATTTTAAAATGGCCATAACTTGAAAATTTTAAGTCGGAATTGGCTCAAACTTTGTACATAGCATAAGGACATCAATATGTATCAGAAAATGTAATAAAAATTAGGTGTGATTTTTTAGCCATTTTTCGTAAAAAAGCATGGGCTATAGTACAGGGAATTTTTCAGATTTTGGCATATTTCATAAAATGGTCATAACTTTAAAAATTTAAGTCGGAATTGGTTCAAACTTTTTACATAGCATAAGGACATCAATATGTATCAGAAAATGTAATAAAAATTGGAGGTGATTTTTTAGCCATTTTTCGTAAAAAAGCATGGGCTATAGTACAGGGAATTTTTCAGATTTTGGCATATTTCATAAAATGGTCATAACTTTAAAAATTTAAGTCGGAATTGGTTCAAACTTTTTACATAGCATAAGGACATCAATATGTATCAGAAAATGTAATAAAAATTGGAGGTGATTTTTTAGCCATTTTTCAGAAAAAGCATGGGCTATAGTACAGGGTATTTATTTGAAATTGGCCCATTTTTAAAATGACCATAACTCAAAAATTTTGAACGTGCTGTACATTCAAAAACTATGTTTTGTGAATCTGAAAAATACTGCTGTGCAATTTCATATAGAGAAGAAGTTGCATGGCTTTATGAAGAAGGAGGTGCTTCAAACATTTATCCCGACTATTGGAAGGACTTTGTTTCTGCCATACCAAAAGTATTTGATAACATTATGATGATAATAATAATAATAATAATAATAATAATAATAAATTATATTATTTTTATTAGTGTGAGAGACGTGATATGGTGAGCGCTTACTACAGAAGACTAACAAGTCCTGACCATGAGGTATTTTGAAAAGTCCCCAGCTATTGCTGACCCTCATTTTTCATACTGTTATTAATTTATTTATGCTTGGATGTAGGTGTGTCTTGAAGCAGCTCAAGCTTGGGCTCAGTGGGAGTGTAGAATATCAAAAATGGTTGTTGATTTAGAGAAAATTAACACGAGGATACAGAATGAGTCCTGGGTACTGTCTTTTGCTAAAATTGAATGGTGGGGAAGAGGGATATCCACACACACACATACACTTGCCAGCTATACTGTGCTTAATGGTTGTGTTGTATAGCTATAATGCATTATACTACTGTATATTTTTATTTTTATTTTTTTAGTCATTATTTTGTACACGATTGCTGGTTTGATGATCCAAGCTACATATTGAATAATATAGAGAAGATAAGGAATGTACCAGGTGTCATTGTCCAGGGGCGTTATGACATGGTGACACCTATAAAAACTGCTTGGGAACTTCACGAAGTTAGTCTGAACTATTTTTGTAGGGTACTGTTGTGTCTTTGTGTAGAAATGGCCTGAAGCTGAGTTGGAAATTATTTCGTATGGAGCCCACTCTGTGATAAGTCCGGACATGAGAGCTGCTTTGATTAATGCAGCAGAAAGATACAAATTTTCTTAGATTTATTTATCATTTTTTATACTTTATACACCCACGCATTATTATGTAGAAGATAAACTGGGCGTGGTCTTGGTTAAAAATAAATAAAATGGCTGACGTTGTACATGTACAGCAGATTTTGCCTCTTGCAAATGCACCTTTATTTGCGACCAATGGTCACAAAGTACTTTTAATGACTGGAAATAAAGCATTCTCTTCATTTGAGCTACGTAATGAAGAGTACCAAAAAGTAGGTACTTCCAATTATAATTCTGAAAGTGTATCCTTTTTCACAGATAAGTTCAGTGGAATGTTCATTAAGAGACGTCATTTCTCTTTCCTGTACTACATATCCGTGGATAGTTATATCAGAGGGATCAGGAATTATCCATGCCATCAATTGGGATAAACTTTTAGAGACAAAGTAAGCCAAAGCTGCTAAGAAAATAGTGTGAACAAAAATATGCATACCTTTAATTTGTACAAGAGAAAAAATATATAACATACTGGGAATTTTATTGCTTGCATTGCCATATAGCTCTATATATTTTAAGTTTTAAATTTTTATGAAGTTGTAAATTTGTGATCGTTTTTGTGGACATGTTGAAAATTTGGAGATATTGAGTAATTGTAACAGTTTTAGTGATTCTGCAACCATGTATCAATGAGCATGCTTAGAGTAAAACAAAACGGTGGACTTCATTGTGTAGATTTCAGTCATTGCATAAGTACATTGTATAGTAGTTAACGTTATCGCTTGATTAATTTTTAGGACAACCTCTCAGTCTCAAGGCAAAGAAGACATATTTGCTTCTCTCCTTGACATGGAGAGCAATCCAAAGCCATCAAAACTATCTAAATATGAGGCCAAATCATCTCCAATCAGCCTGACCACAATCTCTCACCTCAAGACAGGATCCTTACTATATAATGGAGCATTGATTGCTTTCTCCACTTCACCTGATAGCTTATGTTACAAGCTTAATATTTGGAGGCCATCTTTAGACTTTACTGACTCACAACTGCCGAGCTTTCCTCTCCAGCCTGATTCAGTCATTTCTCATTCCATTACTCATTCTGGCTCACACTCAGCCTGCAATAGGGACATTCCTTATTTGGTAGTCTGTTCGGCTACTTCTGATCCCAGTGATGGAGTGGTTATGCTCTCACTGGAACTCTATGCTTATCTTTTTGATCCTGAAGAAACTCTTGGCCAGTCTCAGGTTATTATTTACGGATGTGAGTGTGGTAATGTGTTTGGTGCTTCAATAAAGAGGCTCCATAATCCTACAGTGAGTACTAATAATGAAGGCTTGGGGTTGATATTGTTATGCTCTGTTGGTCAACCAGTATTGTCTATTTACGGACTCTCTCAATGCAATTCTCTTATTAACAATTCTTTATTGATAATTGGCACTTTGGGTAAGATCCTTCTTCTACAGGCACTGCCCAATACCTCCACTGTTTCAACACAAGAGGTTTTATTAGGTGGGCCTATACTCTCCTCCCTTTTAATACCAGGGAATGCACTGCTACTGAGTAACCTAAGGTCAGTGCAGCTCATATGTCTCAAATGCAACCGTGATGATGATTCATCATTTCTCTCTGGTCTTTTTGAGCATCCAGTGACACTCCTCTCATCCCCTCACTACTTGCTATCATATAATGAAACAAGTGGCAACCATTTTGCTGTACTTGGGCTAAGAATTGACGGGCAACTATCAACAATCAAGCTACCAAGCAATTACACTAAACTCTTAGAAATGCAGCAAGGTATTACAATCAGGGATCAGTTAAAGCATACATTGAAATCCATTGAAGAGACAACAAATATTTCCCAAAGACTTGATTCTGATATATCACTGATTGATAGTCGTCTGACTGCTTTAAATCAAATGTGTTGCCTCTTTACTGAGCAGTTGGACTCATCTTTTCCTCCTCTGAAAGTTGATGTGATTATTAAGCATGGACAGTTAGACACAAGCAAGAAACAGTATTTCCTTAATGTCGTGCTTTCACTAAAAAAGGGGCAGGCTAATCTCAAGAAAGGTTGTTTTCTTATCATAGAAATGAAGCCTGGTTGTATGGGTTTGTCCGCTGTTTACTTACCGTCATCACCTTCAGCCATCACTGAATCAAACACTCACTCTCTGTCATTGGAAGGACTCAGTAGTGATAAGGCTCTTTCTGTCAGTCTTCCTGTACCAAATCATTTGCTGTATTTTTATCATGTCTCTGTGAATTGTTCTATTTCTTTTTCTCCTTCCACTGTATCACTTACCAGTACATTTCTAGTACCACTCTCTCAGCAGTTTTTCACTCTACTTGATTTCATTCAGCCTCTGAGACACGATCGATCACTGATATCTGAGACTGTCAGTGAATCAATTTCCATCACTATAAGTGATTCCTTGATTAGGGATTATCTAAAGGAAGATTCCATAAGGCAGTCCTCATTATTATCCAGTGTATTCGTGAGATTACTTGGGAATTATAGACAGCAAGAAACCTCTGAGTATATTTTCAAAACGAAAGACTCTCGTGGTAATGACAGTACTGAGCTGTTTTGTATGCTACCTGATGACTCAATAGCAAGAATTAAACTACAGTCTAATACACTGAAGGATGAGAGCAGCAGTAGTACAAGAGTTTACTTACTGACAGTCACTGGAGCAAATCTTCTTAATACTGTACATTTGACTGATGTCATATCCCAGGTAACTTATTCCAATTACCATTAAAAGAAAGTAAATGATTGTTATTAATTTATAGCTATTGCAAGTAAAGCTACCAAGCTGTAGTATACAATTAAAGCAACAGTTTAAAGTATGCAATAAGAATAAAATGTGCTCTGAAGCCTCTGATTATTGTTATTTCAGCACAGATGTTAGGGAGAGAATTCACTGACCTATCAAAGTGAGATCAATTTTTAGATGTTTTTATTTGATTTTGTAGATGATTTCTAGTGATTTTTATAAATGAAGGTGTTGAAGTTTATGAAAATGTATCTCCAATCAAGCTGTTTTTAATTTGTTTAATCATCATAGATCTAATCATTATTCATAGGCATAGTTTATTTACACGTCATCATAAGCTAAATGAGTCTTTTGGTTAGAGCAAGGCTGGGGTTAGCTCCCTTTTCCTCTCTATATTGTCGCCATGTCTCTATTTCTCTGATCGATGAAGAGGATCCTTCATCTGTAGCTCTTTGGAAGTCGGCTAAACCCTTCAAGGAAATCCCAGGGCCAAAGTGTTACCCCATTGTAGGTGCAGTGCCATCCATATATGCAAGAACAGAAGATA